TTTATTTATAATTTTCGTAGTCATTTGTTTCTTCTGTGTTCTTGATTGTGTTGTTTGGTTTGAGTTATTATATGATTTGATTGCTTTAGGCTTTCACTTCTTAGCTTATACGATGTAGTTTTTGATTTGATTTTGTGATTTTTTTTGCTTTAGGTTGTTTCTTACTATGTGTTGTAATATAATTTCTGTTGTGTAAAGTCATAAACTAGTGTTAGAAAATTATAAACTACATTGTAGGCCGTGTTTTGTAAAATAATAAACTGAATTTTATTTACTGTTTTGTTATTCTTTACTTATTTAGATAGTTTTGTGCTTTTTTTCTTGTTTTTGTTTTATAAAAAAAAAAATAAAAAAATTATGTTTGTTTTGGTTTGAGTTGCTAATGTGATTGCTTCAAGTTGTTGTTTATTAGGTGCTCATATGCATTTTTTTTGTTTCATTTGGTTGATTTTATTGATTTACACCTGTACTTATTAGGTTATACGATGTAGTTTTTGGTTTGATTTGGTGATTTTATTCTTTTACGTTGTTTCTTACTAGGTGTTGTAATGTAATTTTGCAAAATCACAAATGTTTTATTTTATATTTAGTTATTCTTTACTGATTTAGATAGTTCTGTGTGTGTTTTTGTTTGCATTTTAATGCTAAAATGAAAATGATATGGGCTCAGATTATGCAATGCAGTTTCTACTTTCATTTTCAATTTAAGTTATGTTCTATTGGATTTGCTTTTTGAGGGTTAGAAATTGTTGGAATTATATTTGTTGCTGATTTCTTTGGTCAGACTGCGAACAAGGGTTTTATGGTTTTAGAATAATTTTTTTGGGGGGGTTTGGGGTTGGGGTTTTGAGGGAGTATTGACTCATATTATGCATTCCAGTTTATGTTTTGTATTAGGATTCTAATTAATGTTTTCTTGGATTTATTTTTTAGGGTTTTATCTCTAACATTTGGAGTGGTTGATTGAGAGATAAGGGATAATTAGACGTTGTGTAGAGATAGTTCAGTACATTTTTGGATAGATACTGCATTGTAGTTTTTTCAAAAACCGCCTCATAGTTTTAGCAGTTAGCCAGACGTGTTATCATTGGATACTAGTATAATTTTTTGAAGTAAATGTAAATTATGAAATTTTCTCATCAATGAATATGTCTGTTTGACTTTGTTTAATTACTTGTTTTCCGGATGGATTTGTTTTTTGGTTTGTTGATTTATTTTTGAGGTTGTAACTTTCTTTGAAATTGCAATGCAACTTATTTCTGTTCAAGTAGAATTTGTTACACACGTATGATTGGATTTGAATAATTTTGTGAAGTATGTATTGAAATTTATAAAATTCATTCTGCATTAGAAGTGTATTTGTTGAGTAGGTACTGTCGTTTTGTACACACTGCATTGCAGTTTTGAATATTTTTGCTTGATGTGGGATGAAGGAGTTGGATGTTTGTGGGAAGATGGAGCGGTGAATTTGAATGTGGACAACTATTATTGGGTATAAATAAAATAGTAAAATTTGGCAACATTTAAAAATGGCATCTTATGTAATTTTGAGGTTTTCTGAATGCATGATTGTAAAATTACATCTTATTTTTAGTCATTGGCCTTATGCTAATTAGGTGAAAATGTATTCTTATCTTCCAAATTAGTAAACTATATAGTGTTTTAAAATGAAAGCTCCCAATCATGAAAAGTTTTTGCCCAATAAAGAAAATAGTCCAAACGTAACAAAATAAATAAAAGCATACCCAAACTCTCTCTTTCTTTCTATTTTACTTCATTTGTGTTTTAGCATATCTTTCGTTGGGTAAAAAGAAACGGACGGTAATCTGTAAATTTAAGTTTAATGGGCATTAAAACAACAATGCCTCAAACTGACCTCAATACATTAAAAAGTTTAAAATATTAATAAACAATGTTAGTAATATTTTTGTGTGTGGATATTTTAGTGAACATAAATACTAAAAAAAAATGCGTGAAATCTTTTTTGTGTGTGGATATATTAGCCTCACAATGTTTTTTGGATAACATACCTCAATTGAAGTGAAATCTGAATCGAATATGATAGATTTGTAACCAAAGCTTGAAACCAAAACAAATGCGTAAATCCACACCCAAAGCCAAACTCAATTCTATCCAAATTACAACCAAAATTCAAAACTCAAAACAAGAATAAAAAAAAAGAAAAGAATATCAAATCAAAATAGATCAACTCAAGAGGAATTGGACTAAAATATGAATTTCGGATATTGAACAAATTGAAACTCTAAACATGCAAAAATAAAAACAAAAAGCCTAATAAAAAAACTTATTTGCATAAAAAAAAAGGATTAGAAGCCAAAAATTTGACTAAATTCGAAAAAAGGACAAAAAAAATGTAAATTTCATTTGAATCAAACTAAAGAGCATGCGTGATCAAAACCAAGGTTTAAAGTATCGATGATTTTGGAAATATCGGTTAGCCAACAACATGGAAATTTCGATGGAAATATTGGGATATTATCGATATCGATAAAAATTGAATAAAAATCATGGAAATTGTAAGATAAACTTGGAAAATTTTCTTGAAACTATGTAGGATGTTTATTTAGTCAATTATCTATTAGTTTATCATTAAAAAAAGAAGAAAGGAAATGCATTACATGATGGGTTTAATTGATTTAAGTTGATTATATAACGCGCTGACAAACACTACAAGTCTAGAAAATATATAGTAATTAATGAAAGAAGATTAAACGCACCTTAATCATTTATTTATAATGATTTACTACAATATTTTACACTTTATATATTATATGGTAAGATACACAAGTGACTTAGTATCACATAAAGTTCATATAAGGTTCAAATTTGAGTTATTTACACTAACACCTCCTGAGGATTTCGGCTTTTTCACAAAATTTCTTAAGGTTTTAGAAAATTACAAGAACATCCCTGAGGTTTTAAATTGTTTTCACAAAACTCATTTTCATTGATTTTTCACAAAACTCCTTTGCATATACTTCATTGAGGTTAATTTTGTCATTTGTATAATTTTTTTTTCAATGAAATCATCAATTTTTAGACAAACAATCAATGAAAAGGGGTTTTGTGAAAACACATAAAACATTATGGGGTGTTAAATAACTCTTCAAAATTTTCAATGTCTTCATCATCTCGATATTATCGATATTTTTGCCAAATGTTGCTGAAGTGTGAGAGAAATTATTGACGTCGATACTTTCCGATATTATCAATACTTATACGATATGTGTATGAATATGATCCAAAATATCATAGACTCGAAAAAACGATAATATCCTCGATATTTTCTCGGTATTATTGATATTTTAGTAATTGATCAGAACAATCCAACTACAATAACGACTTCAGAAGACCAAATCCAACAAAAAAACTTCAACATCGAAGATCACGGACGAAAAACAAAGCTCAGATCGTAGTTGATGCGGCACAATATCACTTCAAAAATGACGATGCATACTGGAACTAAACAAAAAATTGAAGAAATCGCAGTTCAAGCTACATCTTAGAGAAAAAATGGTTTAATATTTATCTATAATATTAGTGGTTGGAATGAGTATATATAAATTTCTACCCTATATTTCCCGAGCGACATAAGCCAAATCAGAATATTATCTTCTTAGAATTTATATCAATTAGAGATGTACATGAGATATAAAAGTAACAAATGTTCTTCTTCATTGTCTTTTAAATAGGTATGAAAATTTTAGATGCGAACTAATAAACGACTTGAAACACAACAAAAAATTAGAGTGTCAATCGTACAATTAAAAATCTAGGTATAATTGTCAATGAGATATAACCCAATAAAAAAAACCTTAATTTACACATTAATGCTCTCAAGTTCGAACTTCATTCCACTCATGTGGTTTAGACTATGCTTTTATCTATATATATAAAGCAAAAGGTAGAGAATTGTGAAATATTCAAATACCAGAAAATACCCTTAATTAATTCAAACATTAAGAATTGAAATTATTAATTAAATGAGGATAATATGGTAAATTCACAATTTTTCATATTAAATAAATTTAAATTAAAAATAAAATCAAATAATAGTTCCTACTTTTATGGAACATAACTATCCATATTTTCTTAATTTTAAAAATAAAATGAAAAAGAAAAAAGAAAAAGGGGCTAGTTATATAAAAAAACAAAACAAAATCCGTTTAAAATCCAGGTCAATCCAGGTCAAATTCACCTCCCTCTCAGTGTCACTCCCATCGCTGATCGCAGACCGCCATCGCCCCAAATCCCTAATTTTGATTTCCTCAGCCCCAAATCTTTCGTTTCCTCTGGATAGACTTAGCCTCTCTCTCAAACTCTCTGTCTTTATCGTGCGCTGATATCTTCTCTCCACTCTCGACTTTATAGGAGCTCTCTCGGCTGAGCACTACCCATCAGGTGCTCTTTCCCTTATTTCGTCTTCTATTTTTTTATTATAATGTTGTACGGATATCATGCGATTTTCTCCTCTCAATTGTTCTGATTCTGCTGCTGCTTGTGTCTTCTTATTGATTGATTGATTGATTTATTTGTTTTTCTCCGTGATTTTCACGAGTTCCTTTTGTGTTGAATTTGTGGTGTTGGTTTCATTTATCCTTTATGTATTAACTTCCATCCGCAATTTGCTTGTTCTGTTTTTGTTTCTGTTTAAATTTGATTTAGAGGCGGTTGAAAATTGAGAATTTGACTCATATGTGAATTTGGGTGACCATCTCATATGAGAACTCATGTGTTTCTGGTATCAAAGATTGTGTCTTTGAATTCTTTGAAAGAAACCATCGCTATGATCATAATTCTTTGACCTTCCATTTGCTGACATTCCTTCATTGTTTGTGTAATTAAAGGAATGATTCTGCTTGTTCTATAATAGTAAAGAACATAGTAATAAATTCTGCATGTTGCTATTATATAATTAATCAAATTTGATTGTATGTTTTTAATTTCTTTCTAACGTAAAATTATTATGTTTCAAATAGATGGATCCTTTTGATAGTGCTGAAGGTGGAGGTACAGAATCTGCAAATAATGTGCAAGAATCTGCTCCTTCTAACCCTATAGAACCTGTAACGCAGTTTGGTAAGAGGTGTAGAAATTAGCGCTTGAAATTAATTAATTAATTAATTTTTGTAATTTTGATTTTGGCTTCGTTGAGCTAGGGTTTAGATGAGTCCACCTGCTTAGGTGAAGATGGAAGATACTAACCCTGAAGTTTTAGCTTCCAAGAATTCAAATTCCGAAAGCAGAGATTCAGACCCCATCCAAGCTCGATTTAATGATTTGTGCAAGGTTGCCACTTTCCCCCAATTTTTACTGTAATTGAATGTATCCTTCAGTTGTTTCTTATTGTAAATGTCATTTTATTTGTAACATTTGGTTTATAAACTGTACTTTTGTTTACTTTTAGAATTTCTTTCTTTGTTTCCATCGTCATTTCTTGATTTGTGTTCCTGTGAACATATATGGCTTCTAATTACAGAATGGATTGTCGTTGGATGAGAATGCTTACACGCAAGCTATGAAGCTGTTCAAAGAAACCAAACATCTATTAATTTCAAATGCATCGGCTATTGGAAACGGAACAGTATGTGTTTTTATCATTTTTCCATTGTATAGTCAATAATAATGTTATTTTGAAATAAGGTCTGAGGTGATATCTTTTAGGATCTTTTTGCTGGGACAGTTGCTTGAATCTGAATTTTTTGTAACTTAAATGCATTTTTCTGTACAGCCTGAAGAAGCAGAACAGTTCTGGTTCGCCTTTGTTTTGTACTCCGTGAAAACTTTGAGTGAGAATAATTCACAGATGAGCTCTGATGATAATGGATTTTCTCTCTTCCAAATTTTGAGAGCTGCGAAGCTTAAGTATGTTGTTTGCCCATCTGTTTTTAAAAAATAAAATTTAATTTTTTTAATAACATTTTTACTTAGCTTACAGTTAGATGCTCGTAAATTATTGTCATCTTATATTTTTCTGCTGTTTTACAGCATTGTAGATTTTTTCAAGGAGCTTCCTCAGTTTGTTGTTAAGGCCGGTCCAGTTTTGAGTAATCTTTATGGCATAGATTGGGAAAACAAACTTGAGGTATTGACTTGTCAGAGAGTTAGTTTATGCTTGAAAAGGACTCTGTTTTTATGTCTTTTGACTTTCTGTTTTCTTGAAGTTACTTGACCCTTTGCTCATGAGTTTGAGTTCTTAATTTATTAGGCGAAAGAGTTGCAGGCAAATTTTGAGTACTTGAGCCTGTTATGCAAGTGAGTGTCCTTTCTTCTGCACCATTTTTCCTTATGTATTATTATGTCTGATCATTCAAGAATTTTCTCTCTTTTAAAATTTTGCATTATCTTGTGTAAGATCTCTATACTTAGGATGGGACCTTGATGAAACTAAAATAGCAGTATTGCATGTGTGGTGATGCCAGATATGAAAAATGATGGTAGTGGCTTCACATATTAAAATTTTTATTAGGCTGTAATGGAAATTGGTTGCAAGACTGAAATTGATTAGAATTAATGTTGATTACAAAAGGAATGAGAGAAGAAATCTGTAATGCAGCTTCTTTGATATCTTCATTTAATTATTTCAGGTTGACTAATTTGCCCCAGAACTAAGATGTTGATCTCTTCCTTATTATGTGTCAAAAACTTTTTTACAAAGTGTGCAGTGTTAAAAACAACCTGGTTTTTTATGTTATGTTATGAAATACTACGCCTCCAGTTTAGTGCTGAGTTTTATAAATTAATTCATGCTACCATCAAGTGGTTGTCACTAAATGCTATAGTACATGAAATTAATTTGAATACTGAAGATTGAACTTGATGCTAGGCAGGCTGTTTTAGTGGTTTATTAAGCTTCATTCTTGATTTCTAGAGAACACATTGAGTTGTGAGTGGTATGGATTTCTTATACTTTAGAACTTAGTAGCTGAGTATGGTATTGATACCTATTACGATTTTGTTACTCTGTAACATGCTACATATCTTTAGAAATCGGGGTTACATTAAACTTACTGTCTACCTTTCAATCTATTTTCCTGTCATTCAGGTTCATTGAAAGAAAGAAGAATTAAAAAATAGGAAATGAATGTATGCTAGAGTAGTGCTTTTGGTTAATCTTTTGGATAGTTGACTACATGGTTGAAATCTGTTGTACATCATGCAACATCCCAGTTGGTAAATGTGTAGTGTAAACCTATGGAGGACCCCTTTTTATCTTCAGTCTATTCAATTGCAGTTTTATGAACTTTTAATGGATATGCTAAAATCACTAAGCACCTATAGAGGTGTGTTTCCCTGCTTACCCATCTAAATCTTGCAGGGGCATAGTATCTCATTGCAGTCTGTGGCAATCCATTTTTTTGCATGCTTTGCACTAATATTTAGCAGAAAATTAACATTATATGGATGAAAACTTACTATTAGTTTGATTTCCATTTAATTCAGACTAGATTAAAATTGCATTGAGATGATCCAAGGGACATATGCAGCATAATTTCATTCTTATTTGTTGCAAACCAATTTTGGTGCTACGTCATTTTAGGCGGAGGTCATGTTGGATGTTTCATTGTATGCATAATAAATATGCTTCATTGTACTTTGTCTACGAGGTTTTAAGCTAATAGAATCATATCATAAAAATTCAATGCTTCAAGGTACTACAAACGTGTATACCGAGAGGTCTTCTTGACAAGTGATGCAAATGCCGATAAGCAGTCAGCTGTTGCCAGAGGAACTGGTTATGTGTCAGAGTATCATCGTTTTGGATGGTTGCTGTTTTTGGCCCTTCGTGTACATGTATTCAGCCGATTTAAAGACCTGTTGACTTGTGCAAATGGCTTGGTTGCCATATTGGTCAGTTGCATTTCTGTATTACTTCTATTAGTTGGTGATATTAGGATGGCAGTCAGTTACTTAAAATGTCAAACATAATATCAATTTCCATTTTACAATAAACAAGAAATAGGTTGCCTCAAGAAGTGTGAAAACATTACAATACATTACATTATATATGTACACACGCACGCATATATACGTGTCAACCCATATGCATATATACTTTTTGGCTTTATACATGAACATGTATTTTTTCTTACTGCTTGGTTTTCCTTTTTACAGGCAATTTTAATTATTCATGTTCCTGTTTGCTTCAGAAAATTCAACATCCATGATTCAACACACTTTGGTAATATTTCACTTGGCTTATATAGACTTTGTATTATATGATTTCCTTTTCAAGGAAGGATGTTCAATTTTTGAAACTTGCTTCGTCTTTTGTTCGTTTCCCCCATATTTTTTCCCTCTATTGTTTTGGGGTGGGTTTACATTTTGGCATTCTTCATCCGAGCTGATTTGGTTAGTGTCCAATTCAGTTAAGAAAGGCAGCAAAGGCGTGGACCTGCTTGCGTCACTTTGCAACATTTATGACACCTCAGAAGATGAGTTGAGAAAAACAATGGAAATGGCTAATGCTTTAATAGCGGACATTTTGAAGAAGAAGCCCTGTTCAGCGTCTGAGTGTAGAAATAAAAATCTAGAGAATATGGATCCAGGTTTCTTTGAAAATTTTCTCCTGTGTACAGTGATTGATACAAATATCTTTTTGCTTTGTCATTTATCAATGATTCTGAGATCTGATCCTGTTTAATGCAGATGGTTTGACCTACTTTGAAGGTCTTATGGAGGAACCATCATTGTCATCCAGTTTAGATATTCTAGAAAAGGATTACGATGATGCAATTCGGAGTAAGGGTGAACTTGATGAGAGAGTCTTCATCAATGAAGAAGATAGCTTACTTGGTTCTGGTAGCTTTTCTGGAGGATCCATGAATTTATCTGGTGTGAAGGTATGCTTTTAATAAATAGCATCATTGAGGTCCGTACGTGTGGTATTGTCAATGTTCTTTGTTTCTTCCATTGGTTCCATTTTGTGTAGAGGGAGTTTGTTGATGGTTTTATATATTCTGTTATGTCAGAGGAAATTTGATTCTATAGCCTCCCCAACAAAGCCAATTGCAAGTCCGCTCTCTCCCCATCACACTCCTGCATCTCATGTTAACGGTGGTGCTAATTCAAAGATGGTAGCCACACCAGTGAGCACTGCAATGACAACTGCAAAGTGGCTTCGGACCTTTATTTCTCCACTTCCGTCGAAACCCTCAGCCAAGCTGGACGGGTTCCTGGCATTGTGTGATAGGGATGTTACCAATGATGTGGTACGCAGGGCACAAGTCATATTGGAGGTTATATTTCCAAGTAGTGCCATGGGAGAACGATTTGTAACTGGTAGCCTGCAAAGTGCTGACCTCATGGACAACATCTGGGCAGAACAACGAAGATTGGAAGCGCTCAAACTTTATTATAGAGTTTTGGAGGCAATGTGTAGGGCAGAGGCTCAAATACTGCATGCTACTAATTTGACCTCTTTATTAACCAATGAGAGGTTCCATAGATGCATGCTAGCCTGCTCTGCTGAGTTAGTCCTGGCAACACATAAGACTGTCACAATGTTGTTTCCAGCAGTATTGGAGAGGACAGGTATTACAGCTTTTGATCTTAGCAAGGTGATAGAGAGCTTCATTAGACATGAGGAATCTCTTCCAAGAGAATTAAGACGACACTTGAATTCATTGGAAGAACGACTTTTGGAGAGCATGGTATGGGAAAAGGGTTCCTCGATGTATAATTCTTTGACTGTTGCAAGACCTGCCCTCTCAGCAGAAATAAATCGTCTTGAGTTATTAGCAGAACCCATGCCATCTTTGGATGCAATCGCCATGCGTATTAACTTCTCTTGTGGAGGGTTGCCTCCAGCACCTTCTTTACAGAAGCATGAGAATTCACCAGGTATTTACTATATATATATATATATGTATGTATGTATGTATGTGTATAAACATCTTAACTCTGAAGTTGTAATGCATTCCCTCAATTTTATGTGGGATGTCCAAGTCCATGGACATTGGAAATGGATTTCTATCCTCTTAGTGGCAGATGATATAGTTATGTGCTGAAGTGGTGAGTTCGTCTTTTTATTGTTAATTTTCAGGTCAGAATGGAGATATCAGGTCTCCAAAGATGGAGCAGAATTCCTTTACATCTCCTGTGAAAGATTGTTTTCTGGCCTTAAGTAACCTTAAGTCAAATCTGCCAGCCCCGCCTTTACAGTCTGCATTTGCCAGGTATCAGTCTCTGGTCCCTGGAACTAATAAATTTAATTTCTCTGTAGCAACTGACTCTTGAAAAATGTAACGTCCCACATTGGGAAACTTGACAAAATAAAAGACAATATATAAGTGAATGGTTCCTCTACTAATGACACCGGGAACTTTTGTGTTAAAACCCCACACTTGCATGTGCTATGCATGTGGTTAAGTTGGTGACAATATCGGTTGTGGACCAGTTGGTCGTGGGCCACTGGTCCGTCTCTCTGAAATCTTGACACTTACTGCTTTGCTTTTTTCCTTGTTGGTATTATACTTCTGAAATTCCAATGTGCAGTCCAACACGGCCAAATCCTGGAGGTGGAGGGGAAACATGTGCAGAAACTGGAATTAGTATTTTCTTTAGTAAGGTGCGAGGGAGTTTCCAAGAAAATAGTTTTCTTTTTATTTTTCCGGTAAATAATCAGAGGATCTGCCTGAATGAAGAGGATGTGTGTTGTAGATATTAGTTCATACCAATGAAGATCTGTTTGTTTGGCATGTTTAGCCACATGACCTCATAATTCTGCTTTATTAGGATTTATCCTCTGCTTTATACATAGTGCATTTCTTGTATTTAGATAATCAAGCTGGCGGCTGTCAGAATCAATGGTATGGTTGAAAGGATGCAACTGTCTCAGCAGATCAGAGAGAATGTTTATCGTCTCTTTCAACAAATCCTTGTTCAACGGACATCTCTCTTTTTTAACCGCCACATCGACCAGATTATCCTTTGTTGTTTTTATGGAGTTGCAAAGGTGTGATATTACTTCTGACAGTTTTATGGGATGCTGTTAAATTATTATCTTCTTTTCTTACTCATCCACTGTTTTCTGGTTGCAGATTTCTCAACTTAATTTAACATTTAGGCAAATCTTATACAACTATACAAAGCAACCACAATATAAACCGCAAGTTTTTCGAAGTGTGTTTGTTAATTGGCCTTCAGCACGCCGCAATGGGGTATCATGCCTAAACTTTACTGTTTGTTAGTTTTCTGGATAGATCCCAACCCTTCTCTTGTTTTGGAAACAGAGGCCAGCACAGGAACACATTGAAATCATACCATTTTACAATGAAATATTCATTCCTACTGTGAAATCTCTGCTATTCGAGGTTGGACCAGGTCCAACAACTACAAGAGCTAGCGTAGTTCCTGAAGCAAACAATGACAATGATGGTATGCGTTTGCTAAAACTTACATGTAACTGCCACATTTATTTTTTTTTTTTTTTTTTTTTTTTTTTTTTTTTTTTTTTTGGAAAAATTTCATTCATTCTCCTATATAAGCTCAGTTTCTTTTAACCGGCCAATTAGCTCAATGTCCTGGATCACCTAAAGTATCCAGTTTTCCAAGTCTCCCTGATATGTCTCCAAAGAAAGTATCTGCAGCACACAATGTTTATGTCTCTCCATTGCGATCATTTAAGGTACATGTTTAGGTTTTTTGCCTTTATTTTATTATTTTGTTTACTTTTTTTTACAACATGTTGATTCTCATATATGAATTGCCTCTTAGAATTGAAGAAGCCATTCTTAAAGCAAAGTTGTGGTTATATATTTACTATGTGTTAATCACCAACTTATTTGATGGGTCAATGTTATGTTTTTTATTTATTATTTTTTTAAGCGTTGAACATTTGATGTGTTGGCTTCATATTCCTTTTCTTTTATTTATCTTCGAAGCCCATTGGCCTAATACAATCCCATGCAATACATATCCCTGATATACCGTTGTTTTTGGCTGATAGCTTTTTGCTTATTTAAGAGGATTTTGCCGTATATTGCATGCCTAAATTCTCACTGTGATCCTACTTTACGAGTGTCTAGAGTGGGCTGGCTTAGGTATTAGGACTCTTTCAATTTGGTGGAGACCAAGGTTTCTTTCTCTTTTTCCACCGTCAAGTTCTAGTTTGTAGGATTAAGTACCAAACATGCATGAACTTGGATGATGCAATATGCAGTATGATTTAAGTATGCGAGTGCGATCATATCAATGTTTTGTTAATTCCATCTTAGTCAGTATAGTTCAGTTTGTATACAAAATTGATCTTATTAGTGAAGAAAATAATTCGAGTTGAAATATCTGATAGAATATATAGAATAATATCAAGATATGTCAAACTATATCTATATGAACTGAATGGTTACTTGATCTTGCTATGGGCTTTTAGTGAAGCTCAGTGATGCATCATCCAATCGTTTAACTCATGCAAATTTGTGAGGTTAAAAGAAAAAACATCACATGTATCCTTTGGCGATACTTTACTCGAAGAAACTTCATGCCTGTGCATCTAATTTTGAACTTTCTGCAGATGGATGCTTTGATCTCGCATAGCTCAAAAAGCTATTATGCTTGTGTTGGGGAGTGTACCGTTGCGTATCAGAGCCCTTCGAAAGATCTCACTGCCATCAACAACCACTTGAATGGGTATTCTATTAGTTCAAACCAAGGTAATTTTTTTTGCCAAATTAATGATTTCCTCTGATGCATCATTCCGTTTTTCAGTACGCGAAAGCTCAGAGGCACTCTCAACTTTGACAATGTTGACGTAGGCTTGGTCAGTGATTCTATGGTGGTCAACAGCCTCTACCTTCAGAGTCAAAATGGAAGTTGTGCATCCTCATCAGGTGCACCGGTGAAAACTGAGCAACAGGACTCATAATTCAACTCAACGGCTCTATGTATAGTTATAGTTTCCAGTTTGTAAATCTAGTATTTTGATTCTTCATAGTTCTGTACATTTCTGTTTATGACACGAAGTGCTGGTGCTGAATGGGCGGGTTAGGTAGAATGGCCACCAAAAAGCCCCGTTTCCCATTTGCTCACGTATGTTGGGTAGGATCTTTTTCCTCGGCTTTCTAGGGTTCAAGTAACTGTATCGAGATTCTTCTTCTGCAGGTGTATCTTTCCACCTGAGTTGTAAATGTTAATTCCAATTTACACTCTATCAAGTGTCCAACTAGCAATTGGTAGAAAAATGACCAATTCAGAGCCTCACCTGCCAATTGCAATTTACAATAATGGCTTACGGTTGGAACATCGGATTAGCAAGCTAATGCCCGATTGAAAGTATAATTTAATTTTATTGACTCGTCCAAATATAATTTTATTGTGAGTTACATTGTATCCTGGCTATTAAGCATTGTCATTAACTGAAATGATGGTATCATTGTAATCACCCCTTTTCAATGAGGTATAGATCCATAACTTGTAATATTTAATATCAGTTGTAGTGATTATATCTAAAAGAAGTGAAAATCTTAGCTTGGCAAGCGAAATTGGGGGAATCTCATAAAATAAAACTAAGGAAAATAATCTAAGTTATGAAACTTGAAAAGAGAAATATAATAAAAAAGGAAGTGTGGATGTTGCTAATTAAATTCACTAATGAACTTCTCTTCTGAATTAGGTGTACGTAGACATAATTTCCCCCATATAAATACCCCCATCAGCGATCTCACACAGCGGTTATAACTATGCCCTTGTATAACTTAATTGAGGAACAATGGTGAGGGAACCGATACCAGTGCTCTAACTGTTGACCTAAATCTATTATCTAGTAACTGTTAGCTTTTGTGTAATTTGAGTTAAGTAAAGCATGAACCATAAGTCGCAGAGATGGCTCAGCCAAGTTGGTTAGAGAGGATGTGCTCATCACTCTACACCCGAGTTCGAATCCCTCTCTCTGTAATTTAGATTATATTAAAATAAAATATCGTTTGTATTAAAATAAAAAAAAAGACCAAAGTCCTTTAATTTGGGAATCATGGTGTAATGGAGTAGAACCCACATTAGCGTAGTTGATCAACCACAAGAAATATAATTTTCCAAAGTATGGATATAAGGTTTCTGGATTGAATAGTATGAAGCATATGGGTTAACCTTGAAGATCATTCGTGAAAAAATAAAAATAAAACCTCAAGTGACACAACAAAGAAATATATATATATTTTTGGGTGAAACAAACAAACAAAAATTAGTTTTGCAAATTTAAAACAATAAAAACGCGTTTTAAAACTAAAAAAAGAAAGAAAAAGAAAATACATAAATTTCAGTTCAAATAGGTGAAATGTCTCTGCAGAGGACCAACAGCTCGAACAGCTCCTCCAAAGTAAAGTTCCTGACATTATTTGAAAACCAGCATCTCTCTCTCTCTCTCTCTCGTACAAAGTCCATTGGTCGAGAACCAAAATCTGGGCAGATTTGGCCCTTCAGTCGTGAATGGACGCTATCAGAAAGCAAGCCACCAGGCTTCGCGAACAGGTCGCTAGGCAACAACAGGTACTTTCATACCAATCCTAATCCCACCAGATCGAATTTTATTTAATCTCTTTCAATATCTGCACACTATTCTGAATCCGTATTTGATTTTTCTTATTTCAACCAATTTCCCCTTCATTTAGCTCGAACTTTCTTTTTCTTTGTTGGTGAAATTTGCAATCTTGTTCTGCATTATCTTTGTTGGGTTTGTGATTTTCGATTTGTTTCACATTGTATGATCCAACACAATGCATTTGCTTTTCAAAGTCATAAACTTTTTTATGAATTTTGTTGATTGAAATTTGATGTGCAACATATGAGTGCAACACATAATTGAGGAGAGGCGATATTAATTGTGTTCTAGCGGCCTTAATTGGTGAATTTCTCGGGGATATTCTTGGCATTTGATGGCTAATCTTGGAAATTTTATTGGGTGAATTGTGAAATTGGTCTATGGAAGATTGCAAAAAGAATACATGGGTAGAACAAAGAAGTATAGTTGTTCGTCCATTTGCCTTAAAAAATTAGAGCCTGCAGTGGGTTACGGATACAGGTCAGGCTTGTTCATCCAGTGAAAAGTAAAGTTTTACATAGATATACTCCCTTAAAAGAAATGGATAATCAGTTAAATTAAGGTATGGTTTCACTCAAAAAATTCAATAGAAATTAGCCATTTGAGAAGTTTTGCCAACGAATGTGTTAAGGGATTTCAGTTTCTGCTGTAACTTTGTTCTCCATGTCTTGAAAAGTATATGGTGCATCTTCAACTACATTCCCTCAATTTGAAGCTCCTATTTGTTTACATCCGTCTCTGTTATTAATAATGTTTTCTTTCTTTTTTTATTGAATAAATTTACATGGCTAAATTAGATTGCATTCTTGCAATAACAAAGGTTTACTTACATTTCAATTTTCATTTGAGCAAAACCAATCATTCTGACTACATTGGGCTTTACTTCAGGCTGTCCTCAAGCAGTTTGGAGCTGGAGGATACGGAGGTTCAGATAATTTAGTTACCGATGAGGCAGAACTCCTGCAGCATCAGAAACTTGAGAGGCTTTACATATCAACACGTGCTGGCAAGGTTGCCTACTACCTTAGTTGCCTCATCTAATTTCAATTCAATTTGTTTGATCTTTGCTTATATAAATTTTAATTCATGTTTTAGCATTATCAAAGGGATATTGTTCGTGGTGTGGAGGGATATATTGTCACTGGGTCCAAACAAGTTGAAATAGGTGAGTTGGTAAAATTTTATGTCATTTGTCAAGCTCATACGTAATCGCTTAAGGACTAAGTTTTATAATAAAAACTGTAACCTTATTGAATAGGAACAAAGTTGTCAGAAGATAGCAGGAAATATGGTGCTGAAAATACATGTACTAGTGGTAGTACATTATCAAGAGCTTCATTAAGCTATGGGCGAGCTCGTGCTCAAATGGAGAAGGAGCGGGGGAATCTATTGAAAGCTCTTGGCACACAGGTGTGTCAAATTTTCTCCATTTCAACGCAAAATTTTATAGATACGACTTACATGAGCAATATGTGTTTCTGAATGCCCTTCAGTCCATGGTGGTAGGACTAATACATTTGCATATTTATGTTGTAGTTACTTTGCATGATAACCTGTAATTGGCCTTTTCCTTATGAGACGAGTGAAGGGATGTGGATTCAGATACACAATTTTGCCTCATCTTCTATGTTCAAGTTTGTGACAACAGTGAACACAAGTTGTGGCATCCTGAGCTTTGCATACATTATGCAGAAACTTTTGGAAAACTAAGAATTAAAATTGAAGGTTATGTTGTGTGTACTTGAATTATACCGGACATGATATAACAAGTCATTTCTCTTGTGGCATAGCTTACAGCGTTCCTTATAGCGGGATCATATATTAACATAATGTTGAGTTTACAGTACTTCGAGTACAATTTCATCAGAAGTTATCTCAGTTCACTAAAACCTCAAGCCATACCTCCATACTATAAATTGAGAGCAGAGGATCATATATCTTGTTTAGACTGTGGTTCTCTTAGTATAAATTCCCCTAGGCCCTTCAAAGTTAATCCCAGAAGGCATTAGAATTTTGATAACCGAGTTTTAGGCCCACTATATTATATTATGACATTGATATTTGCTTAAAAGATTTTTATTTTGTGCTCAGCTTTTTATTACAGTTATCCTTTACCTTTTTGAAGACCATTGTAGGATTTAATTTCAATTAGTTTCTTCGTTCTTGATACTACCAGAGGTTAATGTGGGTGATATGGTGTTTAAAATTGTTATTAGGTGGCAGAGCCATTAAGAGCGATGGTAATGGGGGCTCCATTGGAGGATGCTCGGCATCTTGCTCAACGTTATGATAGAATGCGACAAGAAGCTGAAGCTCAGGTATCTTTAATTTGTGTTTACCAGGGACTATCTGAGTGTTTTATTCTCGCAACAGCAGTATTTTAGACTGGAAAGCATTGTGAGTCTAGTGATGTACCTCATATTTATGCAATTGGTGACAACTAAATTGATCAGTTGATTTTCTTTTACAAGTATGTCATTGTGCGTTCTTTTGAACCTAGACAGGCTATTGAAGTTTCCAAACGCCAAGTAAAAGTGAGGGAAACACCAGGAAATGCAGAGAGTGTTATGAAACTGGAAGCTGCAGAGTCAAAGCTGCAAGATCTGAAGTCAAATATGGGAATATTAGGGAAGGAAGCTGCTGCAGCAATGGCAGCTGTTGAAGCTCAACAACAGAGGTTGACTCTCCAGCGCCTCATTGCTATGGTAGTACAAGTTCTCTCAAAATATACTATCAGTTAAATATGTTAAGAGCATCCACAGTGGGCTTCTTAAACTACCTCCTTAGACAAATTTTAGGGAGGAATCGTAAAAATGCAACTTCAACCACGCTCTCTATCCACCTCCTAAAATAGGGAGTCCTCTAGGAGCGCTTAAATCTGAGGAGAGAGAAAGGACTCCTAGTGGCTCCCTATAATTTAATGCTGCTTTATTGAATGAGTATTTCAAACCTTTATTTAATGTTAACTATTTTTTAGTTTATTTTTTTAATAGAGATGGACCAATCAAAAAAAAGTTATAGCATTTATGACTCTCCAAATTAGGGAGTATGATTGGAGTTGAAATTTTTTAGAGAGCTCCTAAAATAGCTTTCTTATATTTTTAGCTAAATTTTAGCTAAGAAATAGAGAGCATCATTGTGGATGCTCTAAGTATCAGTAAATCTTTGGCTGGGATGTATGGGGTATTAGTGTTTAAACTTTCTTCTTGTCAACTTTGTTCTGGATTGAAGGTTGAGGCAGAACGTACTTATCATCAGAGGATCCTTCAGATACTCGATCAACTTGAAGGAGAGGTAAGCAGTCATGCTACAACACCCACCCCCCCTTTCTCTCTCTCACTTTTCTGAGTTACAGCAAAATCCAATGCATCAATTGATGATTTTATGTTATCTTTTTCTGATATTGATAGATGGTATCAGAACGACAACGAATTGAAGCGCCTCCTAGCCCTACTGTTGATAACACCATGCCTCCACCCCCACCTTATGAAGAAGTTAATGGCATATATGCTTCTCAAACACATAATGGATCGTCAGACATCATGAATTACTTCTTAGGGGAGGTTAGTAATGAATGAAAGTTCTACTTTCTTATTGCTTAAACGATGCAACACTTGAAGGCTGTTCAATATGTGTACGCTCATTTGTGTTTATTTGTCAATTTATTGCAGGTTATGTTTACATATCAAGCGGTATCTGACGTGGAGCTCAGTTTGTCAGTTGGAGACTATGTAGTTGTGCGAAAGGTTTATAACTTTCTGAGATACTATTCTTCAGCTACATTGATCCTTAAAATTTGAATTAGGGGTAGCCCAGGGCGTGGATTTGGAATAACCCAAGATCTAATCTAAATAAAAAAATGGGACCAATCTATTGTTGTATTTAATTGTGATAATTAATATATTTCAACTGGATCCACTTTAGGTTGCTGGGTTGACAGCAACAATTAGATATAGTCCAGCTGGTTTTTGCCAGGCTTAACCTGTGTCATATTTCGGGTTGCCTGTTATCTGAGGCAAGTCATTGAATCCAGGTTGCAGATTGCAGCCTAGTTCCTTTATTTGAAAGAAAGGCCATGTCATATTCCTACAAATAGTGTTTTGGCTCATAACTCATGATGGGATTGCTTAGCTTGATTTGTATTTTGTCCTTTCAACAGGTGACAAACAATGGTTGGGCAGAAGGTGAATGCAAAGGCAGGGCAGGCTGGTTCCCATTTGGATACATTGAAAGAAGGGAACGAGTACTTGCAAGCAAGGTGGCAGAAGTGTTCTAAAGTTTGTGCATGGGTTGGATTATGAGCAGAGTGTTTTTTCTTTTCTTTTCTATGTGTATGTTTTTTATATCTAATTGTACTAAAACGATGGAGCATGCGGCGTTCGAATAGAAGAACGTGTATCCTCTCCCTTTTGATGTGATGTATGTAGATACTAAATTCTTTCTATCTATTGATTGATGAGCAACGTTTATTTTTTATTATTTATGGTATATCCATCTCTATCTTTCCTTTCTCTTGTTTGTTATATTCAACAAATGACGATCACTTTGAATTCTTCGCTCCATATCATTGTTCTTATTAATCTCAGTTTTCTCTTGTTTCTGTGTTTTTGTTCGTTAATAAATGGCTTTCCAAAACAGACTGAAATTCACGGCCAAATCAAGCAGAGTGCCCATGAGTCAAAATATCCTTGCCAAGGTTAATTTTTTCTTTGGTCATAGGGTACTTGAAACACATTTCTAGAAGTTCACAGAAAAATTACTGCCAATTGCCTGAAATGAGAAGCAAGAATTTCATAAGAAATATTTTCTTCAGTAATATCATCATGAGTCACGTGCGATAGCAATACCAAATCAAGTACCACAAGTTGCGGGGTCCTCACGTAGTATTTATATAAGGAAAACATTAGGTCTCATACATGTCATGCAATCGAATTTGACGAATTTATCGACGGACTTTACGGTATGAGGAAATGTGATATGAAAAAAGTGAGTTTGTGACGAATTTATCGACCGACTTTACCCTAGACCCTTACTGTAGAATGCACCATGCACCTATATTCAATTCTCGCATTCTAAATATAGTTTCAATAAAAAATAATATCAATTTAAAATTTTAATATTATTTCTTTAATCTTCATTTTCTGGTCAGGTTCTTTAATTTTACATAACTAGTAAGTTTTTTTTTTCTAGACATGACGTGTGCTCTTTCTTAAAAAACGCCCGTGTTGAAAAACCTCATATCTAACTCAATTTCCTTTAACTATGTCGAAATGGTTAATCGCTTAGAATGTAGGTCCTAGAGCCCAAAAATTAATACTTAAAATAAAAAATCGAAGCTCTAAAATATCATTCGATACCTTAAATAATCAACTCTATCAATAAATGGAAATAAAATTGAATAAAAATGGCGCATAAGTGAGATCGTCCGTCCTTAAAAGGAAGAACGAACGTCCATCTTAGAACAACTAACATACAGGCCGAAAGAAAAAATAGTATATAATGTACGTAGTCTATCTATAACAGTTCAACCGCATATTAACCCTAATATGCATAGCCATTTCATTTTCTTTAGTGCGCATGCAATGCAACTTGACCTAGTCTTCCACTGACAAAAGTAGCAAATGCAGATTAAATTCTCTGATAATAGATGTACGACATCCAATGAGCACACAAAGCTTCACACACTTCATAAATTTCCAACAAAACAAAAAATCACACTCAATATTAATAAATCAATTTTCGAAGACCACATTGTAGAATGCTTTGAAAATGAGAAATTGTAGACATTTGATAAGCTTGAATTCTTCTTCAACATCATTTCTGGAAAACTTCCAACCATCTCATTTTATGATCTTGTTAAATTTCTGTAGAATTCTTGAGCTGATCTGCAGTTTTCATTCAAATAATTGAAAAACTGAAACTCTGCATAAACTACATGGTGCAAAGTGTAATTACAAGAATGCCCTCGAGTTGAAGAAATATATCAAATAAGTTAAAACACATTTTTGTGATGACAATTAATATTCCCAAATCAAAACGACAATAAATCAACAAGGTCACAAGCTGCGACCTCTGGCAGAGCTGGTGCTTGAGACTCAACAAATTGTTCCATCTGAGCCTTTAACTCTTGCAACATACTTCTTGTTTCCATGGCCTCCGACGTAGAGTATCAATCTCCAGTTGCTGCTTTTCCACAAGAATCTCTGCAGCAGCAACCCTCTCACGTAAGGCAAGCATCTCATTTTGATGATCATGAATATCATGATGATCATGATCAGATGTTGTCTTGATGGTGATGTGGCATTGGGGCGAAAGAAAGACGTGAAGCGAGAAAAATTAATAGACTTATTGAAGCTCCGGGACGAATTAGGGTCATTCATGCTGGGTGTAGTTTCTGCGGGATCTATATCGCTTGTGACGGTGTTTTCTTTGTTACAAAATTTCACTTTAGAATACAATCCCAGTCTAATTGTTGTGTTCAGTTTTGTAAGGCCTGGTGGCAATGGAGGGCTTGATTCTCCATCAGTGCAGCTCTCAAAGCTCACATCTGTCTCATGAAGCTGTTGGGCGCCTTCCTCTTGGAAGTTTTCTAGGGTTGAGGAGGAGGCGGAGGATTCTTCAAATATGGTACTTAATGTTTCTGACATGATGGTTTTCCAAATATACTCTGCTGATCAAGGCAAGAGATACACAATTAATATAAACCTGGAATAAATAAATATATAAACAGTAAGAGCAAGTTTTGGAAAATTTAATTACCTTGTAATTAGTCTTGATGCCAAAAAGATGCTGCAGAGTTTTACAAGAACAAATACTAGCTATAACAAAGTATCGAAGAAAACAAAGAAATTAAAGTAGCTGGCCCCAAAACCGTTTTGGTTCGTCAAAATTGGTCCTATTCTCCACTTCAACCATGTCCTAACACTTCATTGGCCTCATCATTGACCTCCCTTCTAATGGATAGATCTAGATAAGTATCTAGTCCTAGCATCAGAAACTCTGATAGCAGTTAGGCCATTTAAGACCTCTCAGCCAATGAGGTCTAGTTCAGTGGAAAAGGGGCTTGATTTGTATACTAGTGGTCTCAAGTTCGAACTCTCGTGGCACATTGATAGTGTGTGTGTTTGTATGTGAGAAACCCCACACCCCACTGTAGTTTAGACTATCACTTACATTAAAAAAAAAAAGAAAAAAAAAAGACATCTCTAATTGGTTTTAGCATTTGAGTGTCATTAATAGGCTTCATTTTGTTTTCATTAGTTAGATTTTCATTCATTAAATCCGAGATTTATTTTTTAGAATCATTCAGTGTCACATTGAATTTTAGTTTTGTTCTCGTGGGAGCAAAAATTAAGCTAGTCCAGTTGGTTTTTGGTAGAGCAAAACTGTATTGTATTTCGGATTGCCTGTTATCTGAGGCAAGTCATTGAATCCAGGTTGAAGATTGCAGCCTAGTTCCTTTATTTGCGTATATTTCTTCTTCTTCTGGTGAATAAATAAAACTAATTAAACGAAGAAAGAAGGGTCATTTCATATGCCTACATGTAGTATTTTGGTTCATAACTCATGATGGGAATGCTTAGCTTGATTTGTATTTTGTTATTTCAACAGGTGACAAACAATGGTTGGGCAGAAGGTGAATGCAAGGGCAGAGCAGGCTGGTTCCCATTTGGATACATTGAAAGAAGGGAACGAGTACTTGCAAGCATGGTGGCTGAAGTGTTCTAAAGTTTGTGTATGGGTTGGATTATGAGCAGAGTTTTATTTTATTGTTATTAATTTTTTTCAGATGAGTTTCTGAATGATTTGATTTTGTTTGCTTGCCAATGCCTCCAAATTTCCTTGTCAAGCACCATGAAATAAAAAGTAGTATATAAAGGACTTACTAGTCTATCTAGAACTGTTCAATTGCACCAAGCCTAATGAGCTTAATCTCACGACTCTGTCATATCTGCATTGCAATATTGCATTTTAAATGTATAATGCATAGCCATTTCAATTTTTGTCGTGTGGGAAACTTGACCTAGTCTTCCACTGAAAAGTAGCACATGCTAATTTTCTGATGTACATGACAACCAACGGCCACACAAAATAAAAAAAATCACAATCTATAATTTAATTTTCCATGTGAAATTTTAGACATTTGACATTTAATCATGAAAAATACTTCCTTCGTTATCCTGTAATTAGGAACTCTTATATTCTTTATAAATGACATTATTCCTTTGTAATTAGGAACTCCTACATTATTTGCCAATGACAATATGATATGTGTGTAAAAAAAATTTCCTTCTGTATTTTTCATAAATTATTTTTGAATATGTATCAAACTGTGATTTGCACAATGGAAGAATATCTCCTTTCAGGAGAGGAGAGACAAGCAACATCCTTTAATTATTCGTGGCCAGCTTGAATTCGTCTTTCAACATCATTTGTGGAAAGCTTCCTCCACAACATGTCAAAACCCACCAAGTGATATCCAGGCTTATTATATTGGGGTGGATAAGACGTTTGACTAGATCCCAATTTAAAATAGTCAGCAATTTCAACTCCGGCCATGACAAATTTTTTCAGAAACTTCCCATATATGTATATATATTGTGTTCATGGATAGGACAATTTAAACCCAATTTTTGAGTCTCATAAATCCATCATGATATTCTCCAAATCAATCCCTCTTTGTTTCTTGGTCCTCTGTGTTTTCCACCGTTCAGCCATTGGTGCTTCCCCACTTTACCATTTTTGTTTCAGCCCAGAAAACTACACTGCTAATAGTTCATATGGTGCCAACTTGAATTTGTTGTTCAATCTTTTATACACCAAAGTTCCTCCTTCTGGCTTTGGCCTTGGTTCAACTGGCCATGCCCAAAACCAAGTGAATGGCCTGGCCCTTTGCCGCGGGGATGTCTCGAGCAAAAACTGCGACACTTGTGTGATTGGTGCAAGCAAAGAGCTTCGTGAGCGTTGCCCTTATAGCAAGGGAGCCGTAATTTGGTATGATCATTGCCTCTTAAAGTACTCAGACGTGAACTTCTTTGGGCAAATTGATAACAGAAACAAGTTCTCTATGGCGAACGTCCAAGCGGTAGAGAATAATCCCACACTATTCAATGAGAAAGTTAAGGAATTGTTAAGTGGGTTATCTAATGAAGCCTCCGATGCTAATCCAAAGTTTTATGCTACCGGTGAGGTACAACTCGATACATTCACAACGTTATATGGTATTGCTCAATGCACGAGAGACCTCTCTAACGTTAATTGTAAGAAATGTCTTGATGTTGCAATAAGTGAACTGCCAAACTGTTGTGATGCAAAACGAGGTGGGCGTGTCGTAGGTGGGAGTTGCAATGTTGGATTCGAACTTTACCCCATTGTTGGTACTTAGCTAGATCATAATTGCTATAAATAAATAAAAAAATTTGTAATTGGATCAGTGTATTATTATATATGCTATACAAATAAATGAAGGCTGGTAGCTTATTGCCTAATTTGTCCAACCTCATTCTATGATCTAGATATGTTTCCGTAGAACTCTTGAGCTGCTCTGCAGTTTTTATTCTAATAATTGAAAAAAAAATATATTGACCATTACTGTTATTTGATGCAGATAGTTAATTACAAGAATACCCCTGAGGTAAAGAAATATATCAAATAAGTTAAAGATATCTGGTTAGTTAAGAAAAATACAATATTCCCAAATCAAAATGACAATAAATCAACAAGGTCACATGCACCTATATTCACCTAAATCAACAAAATGAAAGATATCTGGTTGACCCGTACACTTGTGGAAAAAAATAAATCCAAGAACTCTTTTTGTAGAATGCACCACATGCACCTATATTCAGTTCTCGCATTCTTAAATATTCATTTAAATAAAAATAATAATATCAATTCCAAAATTTGATATCATTTCTTTAATCTTCATTTTCTGGTCAGGTTCTTTAATTTTATATAACTAGTAAATATTTTTTTATTTTTAGACATGACGTGCGCTCTTTCTTAAAGAACGCCCATGTTGAAAAACCTCCATATCTAACTCAATTTCTTTTAACTTTATCAGAATAGTTAATCGCTTAGAATGTAGGTCCTGAAGTCCAAAAACTAATACTTAAAATCTAAAATCGAATTTCTAAAATATCACTTGATATAATCAACTCTATCAATAAATGGAAACAAACGTACGAAAGAAAAAATAGTATACAATGTACGTAGTCTATCTAGAACAGTTCAATCGCATATTAACCCTAATGAGCATACCCATTTCATTTTCTTTAGTGCGCATGCAACTTGACCTAGTCTTCCACTGAAAATTATCATACCAAATTATGGCTCCTTACTATAAGGGCAGCGCTCACGAAGCTCTTTGCTTGCATCAATCACACAACTATTGCAATTTTTGCTCGAGATATTGCCGCGGCAAAGGGCCAGGCCATTCACTTGGTTTTGGGCATGGAGGAACTTTAGTGTATGGAAGTTTGAACAACAAACTCAAGTTGGCACCATATGAACTAGTAGCAGTGTAGTTTTCTGGGCTGAAACAAAAATGGTACAGTGGGGAAGCAATGTTTCTTGGTCTTCTGTTCATTTTTCGTCGAAATATATGCTCCCACTCCCACACAAGCAATGTCCTTTAATTATTCGTGGCCAGCTTGAATTCGTCTTTCAACATCATTTGTGGAATCAAAACAGTCAAACAAAGTAGGGCAAATATATTCAGATATGTTCGTATATGCTCATATTTATGATTCTTCTCCAATATGGAGGTATTTATAAAGAAGTACAACCCTAAATAAAATAGGAAATAAATCCAAATTACAATAACAAATAAATATAAATTACAATAGGAAATAAATCTCAATTATAATACGACTAGATAAATGAGTAAGTAACCAAAATCCTAAAGGAACCAAAATTCTAAGTAAGTAAGGAATCGCCAACATAAAACCCATAACCAGGCTTGTTATAGTATGTGGGTGAAACTTTTGACTATATCCCAATTTAAAATAGTCAGCAATTTCAACTCCGGCCAGTGGCCATGACAGATATTTTTAGAAACTTCCCACATATGTGTGTGTATATATATATTGTGTATAGAACAATTTAAACCCAATTTTTGAGTCTCATAAATCCATCATGATATTCTTCAAATCAATCCCTCTTTGTTTCTTGGTCCTCTATTTTTCCCACCATTCAGCGATTGGTGCTTCCCCACTTTACCATTTTTGTTTCAGCCCGGAAAACTACACTGCTAATAGTTCATATGGTGCCAACTTGAATTTGTTGTTCAATCTTTTATACACCAAAGTTCCTCCTTCTGGCTTTGGCCTTGGTTCAACTGGCCATGCCCAAAACCTGCAATACTTGTGTGATTGGTGCAAACAAAGAGCTTCGTGAGCGTTGCCCTTATAGCAAGGGAGCCGTAATTTGGTATGATCATTGCCTCTTAAAGTACTCAGACGTGAACTTCTTTGGGCAAATTGATAACAGAAACAATTCTCTATGGCGAACGTCCAAGCGGTAGAGAATAATCCCACACTATTCAATGAGAAAGTTCAGGAATTGTTAAGTGGGTTATCTAATGAAGCCTCTGATGCTAATCCAAAGTTTTATGCTACTGGTAAGGTACAACTCGATACATTCACAACGTTATATGGTATTGCTCAATGCACGAGAGACCTCTCTAACGTTAATTGTAAGAAATGTCTTGATGTTGCAATAAGTGAACTGCCAAACTGTTGTGATGAAAAACGAGGTGGGCGTGTTGTAGGTGGGAGTTGCAATGTTGGATTCGAACTTTACCCCATAATTGGTACTTAGCTAGATCATAATTGCTATAAAAAAAATAAAAAAATTTGTAATTGGATCAGTGTATTATTATATATGCTACAAATAAATAAAGGATGACCACAACATGGTTTTATCACCAATATTTAACGATTAAGAAAAACTCGTTTTTCTTCATTGTAATTAGAACAAAATGCAGTAACCAACAGATTGGAACCAGATGTGCAGGCAAAACCCTTAAAACCCATCTCCCAATTTCTTTTATTCTTTTCTCAAACCCTAACCCCAAGCTCCCCAATCCCCACCTGCTGTAGTGTAGCCGATGTATTTCCACTGCCACCGTCCACTACATGTTGTGGCGCCACTGTTGTCATGATATTTCTAGTTTCAAGTAAGTTCTAAATCTTAATATTAAAATAAGGATGATGTATACTAGTTTTAATTTAATGGAAATCAAATTTATAATTTCTTGGATGAAATTTATGATTTATATATATTGGTTTGATTTGTTGGATGATGTTTTTGCTTATTTTTGTTGATTAGGTGGTTGTGGTTTTTTTGTTTTTTGGTTAATTGTCATAGGTTTGGTTTGAAATTTTACGAATTGAAATCACTCAAAAACATACATAAAAAAATGACAAATTGAAATCATTCAAAGTATATTTTTCCAAGAAAGGAATAAAATTTGGAAGAGAAAAAATAGATAAGAAAAATAACTCATTCTTAAATGTTCTTTGGAACATTTACACTATGACCCTACGGGGTTCGGATCCTGGGTCCGTCGTAGAGTATCAATCTCCAGTTGCTGCTTTTCCACAAGATTCTCTACAGTAGCAACCCTCTCACGTAAGGCAAGCATCTCATTATGATCATCATGAATATCATGATAATCATGATTAGATGTTGTCGTCAAAGGTGATGTGGCATTGGGGCGAAAGAAAGACGTGAAGCGAGAAAAATTAAGAGACTTATTGAAGCTCCGGGATGAATTAGGGTCGTTCTTGCTGGGTTTAGTTTCTGCAGAATCTATATCGCCTGTGATGGTGTTTTCTTTCTTTAGAGTACAATCCCAGTCTAATTGTTGTGTTCGGTTTAAGGCCTGGTGGCAATGGAGGGCTTGATGCATTAACGTCCGAGTTTTGATTCTCCATCGGTGCAGCTCTCAAAGCTCACATGTCTCATGCAGCTGTTGGGCGCCTTCCTCTTGGAAGTTTTCGAGGGTTGAGGAGGAGGCGGAGGATTCTTCAAGTATGGTAGTTAATGTTTCTGACATGATGGTTTCCAAATATATTCTGCTGATCAAGGCAAGAGATTCACAATTAATATAAACCTAAAATAAATAAATAAATAAACACAACCATAACACATGTTAAGAGCTTGTTTTGGAAAATTTAATTACCTTTGAATTAATCTTGATGCCGAGAAAAATGCTGCAAAGTTTTACCAGCTTCCAAAGGTTGTCATGGAAGGACAAGCTTCGTTTAGTTGTACACTCCCATGAGTGTTTCTTGATACCTTTATATAGATTAGGTGGTTCCTGAGGTTGAGAGGTTTTGTCTCAATTTGTATGTTTGAATGATTTGAGGGTTTTTTTTTTACAAAGAATGCACAAGTGGATAACTTAAGTAGAAATGTAGTGTGCTTGGCCTACATGGACAGAAGAATCAGAGCTGTACGAGGTTGGCAGTTTTATTGGTAACTTCACCCATGCAAACAACGTTTGAACCATTCATGAAATTGCTAAACACTAGGAACAAATACTAGCTAAAAAAGTATCGAAGAAAACAGAAGAAAGATTTATAAGTAGCTGGCCCCAAAACCGTCTTGGTCGGTCAAATTTTGGCCTATCCTCCACTTCATATCATGTCCTAACACTTCATTGGCTCCAACATTGACCTCCCTTCTAATGGATAGATCTAGATAAGTCTCTAGTCCTAGCATCAGAAACTCTAGTTAAAAACAAAAAAAAAAAAAAAAAACAGAAACTCTGGTAGCAGTTGGGCCATTCAAGACGTCTCTATTTGGTCCTGCGTGCCAGTGGAAAAGGGTTTTCGATTTGCAAACTAGTGGTCTCAGGTTCGAATCCTCATGACACATCGTAGTGTGTTTGAGAAACCTCCATTCCCCATTCTAATTTAGATTATCGCTTATGTTAAAAATAAAAAGAAAAAGATGTGTCTAATTGGTTTTAGCATTTGAGTGTCTAATTTCGTTAGTTTTCAATTATTAAATCCAAGGTTTTATTTTTCTGAATCATAAAATAATGTAAGCTGCAACCAAGAAGCCACTTACCATACAACCTAAACTTGGGGGGAGTGGAAGTACAATGAAGCAACATGGTATCGACTATCATAGAAAATGAAGAGAAATATGAACATGGGATTTGGAGCCCATGGAATTCCATTCCAGTTCCTTAGTGGTTTGTAGTCATATTTGTCCCATCTTTTAGGAAAGCTAAAGGTAATAAACTCTTAATATTCACAACTAAGACCATGATCTGCATCAGCAATGTAGAGTATGTTCCCCAATTTGTTAAAGGCCAAACCCAGTGCCCTTCCACATGTATGTATGCTCCAAGTCTTGATTGGTTGAGCTACAGCTTCCAGTCCGGCTGACAAAACACAACCATATTATTAGTGGTTACAACAAGTGATAATAAAAGCTTCCGTTTGATAATGTTAGATATAGGTTTGGTTTGGTTTCGGTTCTATTCACTTTGATGGAGATTGTGAGACCGTGAAGGAGAGGTGTGAGGGTGAGGATGAGACCATGAGGGAGATGAGAGATTTTGATATTAGATTCATAAGTGATGAAATGAGTTATATCAATATATGAGCTCGTACGTATATCATATAATCGGTCTGATTTAGTTTTAAGTGGTGAAAATCGAGAACTGAAGCCAAAGCCCCATTTTTTCGAAATTTAAGGTGTCCTTGTTCCCACAAAAAAGATTACCTTTCAGTTGAAGTGGCGGCAAACTCTAGAAACCCAGAGAGAGGTTCATATTTGAGGACTATATCTTGAGAAGTAGACACATAGGGTCCCCCACAATTTTTTGTCAAATGCAAGGGCCACAGGGCGTCCGGTATTTGATGGCAAAACAAATGAGTAAACTTCGACTCCCTCTCTAAAGGACCAGTTTCTTGAAAATTAAATAACAAGAAAAAAAAAAAAAAAAAAAAAAAAAAACAAACAAGAAAATATGTACAAAATATGTTTTATATGTATATATAAGAAAGTAAAGTTTTAGCAATGCCAGCTAAACTTTATTCCGAGTGGTACTTGACCAACAAAACAGTTTTTCTGCGATATTTTAACACTGAAACTAAGGGCCCGTCTGGTAACGTTTTCGAAGAGTGTTTTCAGAGAACATTTTCAAAAAATGAAAACGAGAAAACGAATTTGAATCCATTTTCTAAATTCCATTCTCCGTATTTTCATTTGTTGCTCGAATGCATTCTCCGGTTGTTTTTGGTTTTGGAAAATGAAAATGGGCCTTAAAAACTCTACCAGAAGGTTCTTCTAATTTTGATTTAAAAATACTCGGGCTATGAAATAGCATCTAATTGGCTTTCACAAACTAATCCAAATTTCGTTTTTCATAATAAAATGGAAGGGTAAATTCTTGAGCACAAATCATAAATTATTCTCATTAAAGCAGAATATTGATACATAAAAGGAAAATGATGACACATGACCCTAACAACATATCATAAGGCAAATATTAAGCAAAACTCCACTCGAAAATGATAATGACTAATTAATATCACACATCAAATAAGGTATTCAAACGGATGATGCATTGTGACGTCGCCCTTGTTCATTTAAAATTTATAGTTTCTACTTAAGCCAGACCAGTTTACATATTGAAAGCACCAATATAATTCACACCAAAAGATCCCACATAGCGTGTCCCAAGGGCCTCTTGAACTTCACTGACGGAACTTTGGTTGTATTGATCATCAAGGCTCACCTTTTTCAGCACAAAACTCCCAGATGAATCAATTAGAACTGCAGTGGGAACCGTAACGTTTTTGAACAGGTTAGGGTTCGTTGCCACCCAAAACTGTCCAGATTTGGTTCTCCTTATGTGAATCGGATGTGCCACCCGGTGCCCAAAGTAAATTGTTTCTGCTATATTAGCTTTTGGACCTTTGAGCCAATACTTCTGGATCCTATTGGCTAAGTATTCAGAGACCAGAACAAACTAGCCATCTTTGCTAACTGCAGTCCCATATGCCAAATGAAGCCCTGTCAACAACACAGAGACTTTTTGTGCGTAGGGATTATATATTTCAACAGCCTCCCTGTTGCATTGTGGGGCGCCTCTGGCTTAAGCATATCTCTACAAGGCACATGCATATATAGTATGAGTTCTTTTACTGATTAGCAGCTTATTTTATATAACTTTGAAGTGTTTGCCAGTCATAATGGCTCCATGGAGATTATTTTTTATGTGATAATGGTTCCAGTCATAACTTTGTCCAATTCGTTTTCTCCACATTTCTAGTACTTTGAAGGAAAAAAATAGAAAGGCAAAACTAATCCTATAAACCATAAACAAGTTTTAATAATATTTTCACATTCACATTTTATCTACTCGCTCTCTCTCCTTTTATTTTTGTGCTTTGGTAATTGGGTAAACACTGGGAATCAGTGCATAGGAACATCAGGAGTATTGGTTGATAGACAAAATGAAATTGTGAAGATTAATTTCTTCCTTATAGTAGCATGATTAAAACTAAATTACACTTTTACTCGTTATATTTTGATTCATTCTCCTTTTTCACTTTCGGGAATTCAGTAGTAGTTTGCTCATCTTTCAATTTAATCCAAATTGGCGACCTCATTAATTTTCAAGACAGAAATTCTATGTGTACCCGACATCATGTCGGATTTCCAAATCGCATATACGCACCTATAATTTTGATGCATGGGCCAAAATTTAGTGAGTTTATATGTTTTCGTTCTTTGGGTCTTTGAGAGAAGCCAAAGAACATGGAGTTTTCTACGGAAAACAATAATTTTTCCTCTGAGACTCCTTACTTTATTTTCTTCATATTTTAATTAGTTTTCATCATTTTGTGTGTGTGTCAAAGTTGGAAAGAGGAAGGGAAGATTTAATCTCAGACTCACTGCCAAGATGTTATGAGGGTTTGAACTTGAGACTACTTGTCTACAAGTCAAGGACCTTTTCTACTTGGCGAGCTTTCCATCATGCTTTGGTAACTTGTATTATATGTCACATGCTTTTCTTGTATGCTTATAGTGCTTACTCTATCATACACTTGCGATATGTTTGAATATGATGAGCCAATACAACTCCTAGAGAGCACATAAGATGTCCATATATATGTATGTAAGATGTAGAAGATACCTTAGCCCGTAAACAGAAGTAGCATCTGTCAAATAAAGCATTCCAGTTTTGGGGTCGACATCCAAACCACTGAGGAAGCCGAGTGGCACTCCCTTTACACTGGTGGCAAGATGGATTGCTAACCTTGGCACCTCTCTCTTCTTTAAACTATTAAAACGCACAACAAAGAGTCCGTCATATGCATCAGCAAAGTAGATTTTGTTACCCAAATTGTTAAAGGCCATGCCTCGTGGCCTTTCGCAAGCATCGGTCAAGCCTTGCTTAGTTTTGTTTCCTCTTAGAAAAAACAAACAAACACAGACACAGTTACAAATAAAAGCTTCCTTTTGTTACTATTAGATTTGTAAACAAGATTACCTTTGAAATTTAAAGGTAGCCATTTTCAGAAAACCAATATTGGGGGCGTGTTTGACGACTAGACCATCAGAAGTAATCACATAGGGTCCTTCATCATCTTTGTCGAAGGCGAGGGACACAGGGCTTGTGGTGTTTGCTGGCAAGGTAAGCCTTTCAAAGGATTGTGATGAACCCATAGAGGTAGAAAAACACAGAAAGATAATGAGTATCAATAGCATGCCTATACTTTTGAGACCATGTATAGGTGCCATTTTATTTTTTTTATTTTTTATGAAGAGCTAGGTTAATACAGAGTGGTATATATACGCAATCTGATGAGAATAAAATATATCTCTCAGAGGGAGGAGGAGGAACCTTTCAATATTTCTCAAGGTTCCAAAAATTAAAGCGTAGTTATGGAAATTAAACCTTTCGCTTAACCAATTTACCAAGGGAGCATTTTACAATTTTGTTTGTTTGTTTTTTGTTCTTTTTAATTGGCACCGAAAATTCAGTCAAATTTATAGCCAGCGTATAGTGAAGAAATTACAGCTAGTAAATTTTACATTTTCGAACAACATAGAATAAGTTCATAAAACAAATGAGAGTAGAATTCAATTCCCTCTAGAGGACGGTTTAAAAAACCCACCTATTTTCTTTTTCTTTTTCTTTTTTCCTGAGTTTCCCTTTTGCTGAACATGATGATGGAACCCTAGTTGCCTCACTCACCTATTCTTTCATGGAAACCCTCCATGCTATGTACGTACTCTCCTTTCGAGATAATAATTTTGTATGACACAAACTCATCGTAATATAGTGTAATGAATAGAAGTTACAAAAATATACAAACGCAGGCACAAGAAAACATAAATAAACGTAAGTATGATTGTAATTTGTACTAAAGAACTTCAAGTCCTAATCTAGATATAAGATGAAAATCAAGAAACTTCATCTTAATAATTACAAATAAATGAAACATATATAGCACAGAAATAACTCTAAGGAAGATTTATATTTACTTATTTTTTACTAGGCATTGTGCACATATTTGTTTATTATTTTAATTCATATAATTTTTTCCATAAAAAAAAATTCAAAGAAAAAATAAACTAAAAACTATGGTGTATTGCATAGCTTCTTAAAAATCCATGCGTGTCAAGAAAACAAACTATCTACATAAATTTTGACTAACCCACTATCTACATTTTTGCATAGTTGTTTGTGAGTACTTGTTTTTGCTTTTTATTTAACATGGTTTCCTTTACTAACATGGTTTACTTTATCGTTTATGTACACTTGCAAAAATCTCTTTATTCCAATATTAATCTCAATTTACAAAATGTTTTTGAACGAAGGAATGATATAGAATTTGATTTCAAAGCTTAGGAGAGAGGCACACTCTACATCGGATAGGTGCAAGAATATAAGACTAATGAATAGGCCAATAATAACAAAATACAATACTAGATCATTAAACCACAACAAATATATCAAACCAAGAGGAAGTTAATTATCACGAATAACAAAAAGATGATGAATGCATTATATTGGCAAAGTAAAAGGCGTAGGAGAAAGGCGTATCTACATTGGATAAGTGCATGAATATTTTTGTGATTGTTTGGTCATGAAGCAACATCCTTTCCTCTTAAGTACACCAAGAGTGAAACCAAAGAGATATAAGGTTGGTTGCACTTGCATTATGATCATCTTTCTCTACATAAGTTTTGACAAACCAACTATACAAAACTCTTGTGTTAGCACATGCACCACATCCATTTTCACTCTATATAAACTCCTATATATTAAATCTTCCCCTTGAATTGCATTACTCTTCACTCTTCATTCTGCACTTTCACTCTTAGAGTTCAATATAATTATATACATTTTCTTGAAATACAGCCACATAAATAGCTATTAAACTCCACTTCAAAAAAATTACATAGCCCCCATTTACAGACAAAGAGCCCAAAATCACCACAACTCTTTGTTTTCCAAGGGTCCTGAAAAAGAGATGTGCAAGAGAAAAAGGAAGAATCGTGAATATGCAAGGCTGAGAAAGAAGTAGCAGTTGGAGAATTTGTTGGCTGTAGGGGTCATTATTTGGCCCATAGGCTCATGGGCCGATAGGGGCCCGCTGGGATCATCAAGAAAAAGCCTGACCCAACTCGACTCGTTATTTAGTGGGCTAGGCTAGGGTTAGGGTGCCTAAATCCCAGGCTGGCCCATAGGCTTGACCAGTTTGAGCCCATAAAGACCTGGCCTGTTAGAGCCCATAAAGTCAAAGCCCGGCCGCCCATCGAACAAGGAATTGGTGGAGTTCCATGTGTTCAATATGTTGTTGGTGTTCGAATTCTGGAATATGGATTTGAACTTCAAAAGAATTTGACGCTATGCCACGGCTCCAACTTTGGTATGGGAGAAAAGCCATAAGAGAAACAGGAGGTAAAGAGCACGTCCAGCCCCACGACCAAGAGATCCACGTGCTCCACGTCGAAGTCAGTGTAATTCAGATTGTAAACTCCAAAGTTTTAGTACTCCCCATCTATTCTAAATATCTTTGAAAGTAAGATCAATTAGAAAACGTAGGCACATTGTTTCTGAACATTATCTTTTTTTTAACTAACAGCTTTATGGTGTAAGTTATTATTTACATTTTCTTACATATGATTATTTTTGTAGGATTTGCTTATGAGATGTACCTTGGATTCCATATTCAAAGTTGGGTTTGGAATAGGCCTGAATTGCTTGGAGGGGTCAAGCAAAGAAGGGATTGCATTTATGAAGGCCTTTGATGAATCAACTGCTCTGTCCTACTTTCGTTACGTTGATCCATTCTGGAAACTGAAAAGATTTCTCAACCTCGGTTCCGAGGCCTCCCTTAAACAGTATGTCAAAGTCATTGATGATTTTGTGCACCAAGTTATCAGGAGCAAGAGGAAATTGCTATAGGAGCAAAAGGATGTTGTAAGTTAACTTCGCACTTGTACATTATCTTTCATTGTCATCTTCCTCTGTTTGTGTGCGTTACTGAAAATACTTCTATAATTTTTTTCTTTGAAATTGAAATTTATGTTATGTTTCAAAGAATGACAAGGACATACTATTGAGGTTTTTACTGGAGAGCGAGAAGGATCCAGATGAAATGAATGACAAATATCTAAGGGACATCATTCTGAATTTTATGATTGCTGGCAAAGACACCAGTGCAAATACACTCTTATGGTTCTTTTACCTGCTCAGCAAGAACCCTCTAATACAGGAAAAAGTTGTACAAGAAGTGAGGGATGTCGTTGGCAATCACATTGGTAAAGCGAAAATCGATGAATTTGTGGCGAACATAACTGATGCAACTCTTGAACAAATGCATTATCTTCACGCGGCACTGACAGAGACGTTGAGGCTATACCCTGCAGTTCCCATTGTATGTATGTACTCCAATAACCCTGTATTAGTTTGCTTTATGATTCTCTGAATGAGATGCTTGCTATTCGTTATACTTATTCTAGTTTTTATGAGAATCTAAACAGGACAGTGCCACAGCCTTGATAAAATCTTGAGCTTATTTTATAAAAACCAACACCATGTAGTGTTGGCTATTGTGAAAGAAGAGAGGTCTAATTGTTTGTCAGTTTCCATTATGGCCAAATTTATAAGCACTGAAAATATTGACATCTTTGTGTCTTTGGCTTTCCTCTAAGGATGGGAGATGTGCAGATGTAGATGACATTCTTCCTGATGGCTTTAGAGTGAGAAAAGGAGATGGAGCATGACCTATGCCATGGGCAGAATGCCTTATATTTGGGGAAAAGATGCTGACGATTTCCGACCTGAAAGATGGCTAAACAATGGAATTTTCCAGCCTGAATCACCCTTCAAATTCGTCGCATGTCACGTTAGTACCTTGTTTTCTTTATCTTTAACACACAGGTTAATCATCCAAGTTTTCACTAACAGTTTAACTTGTGCTATTTTCCGGTAGGTCCTCGGATCTGTCTAGGGAAGGACTTTGCTTACCAGCAGATGAAGATAATAGCGATCGCTCTTCTTTGCTTCTTCCGCTTTAAATTGGCTGATGAAACGAAAAGTGTAACATATACGACCATGTTCACCCTAGACATACATGGCAGTCTCCCTATGCTTGCAGTTCCAAGGACAGCCTGATAAACTTCCTCTATGTGAAGCTGAAGCAAAACAAGGTTCACTTTGATCTGTAAGAAGGTTTATTGCCTTAAACCTACTGAAGTGATCTTCTAATCAATAAAGGATTGCAAAGACTTATTTTTTATCAAGGACTCAAAACCTATCTCGATTAGGCAGCCTGTAAACAATGTTTAAGATGGTTAATAAAAGGCTTAAGGGTTCCTAGTTCTACATGGATTGGAACAAATTAATTCTATCGCATGAAGGATATCTCTAAGTTTTTCTTGATGGGCAAGACACTTAGAGAGGTGCATATAAATAGAAGGCTCCCTCCTAGATCCGATACAACTAAGCTAATCAGAAATTCACCCATCAGAGTTATAGCTATAAGGATCGGTTTTCTAAGGAAAAGAATCTTCTATACCTTTGCGCAATTCAATCTGCTTCAGCACCATGTCAGACTCAGGTTAGTGTTCAACATGTTATAGCTTTCAAGATTAACATATGGTATCAGAGCTTTAGTTATATCATGTTCTACCTAACAAATCTCATGTAGGAAAATTAAAAGAAATAAACTGACAGTTTTTAAGTTATAAAGTATGAACATGATAACAGTATAAAGTATGAACTTTATCATGTTCTTGACGGTTTTTACAGATCAATGCTTACAGTCTTTGTGTAGTGATTGAGTAAGCCAAAGCGACTCAATCATTGCATGATCACTGTATTCAAAGTTCATGATCTAAAATTTGCATCATGATGCAAAACATGTCGAACGGCTTTCTGTCCAAAGATGTAAGTAGTTTGATATGTTTTCATCATGGTGGATTGACATGGGATATGGATAGATATGGATTGGTGAAAGATTTTCTTCTGTCTAAAGATGTGGAAGATCTTTTGCTCAGGAAATTCACATCTATTTGTTTTCCAGTGTCAATAAGCATGCTTAATTTACTGTCCAAAGATGTGAGTTAAGTATGTTTGATTAAAGTTTTGGGGAAAGTTGTTTATATAAAGTGCTTATCTTGTTTTAAAACATGTATAGTAAATCATAACTCAATTCAAACTCTCACTGGCTCAAATTATAAGAAATGGATAGAAGATGTGGAAATTGCTCTTGGACTTCTGGATTATGAAATGGTTCTGACTAATGAAGCTTTAGCAGTGCCTGCAAATGAGGCATCTACTGAGACTAAGGCAAAATATGCAAAGTGGATTAAGGCCAACAAAATGGCAATTCTGATCATGAGGAGGTCTACTTCAGAAGAAGTTAGAGGCAGTATTACTGAAACTGAGAATGCTAAGGAGTTCATTGAAGCTATTGAAGAAAATTTCCAAGGATCCAAGAAAGCTGAAGTAGGCACACTTATGAGCCAACTGACAAATATGAAATACAATGGAGAAGGCTACATAAGGACCCACATTTTGAACATGGTTGAGACAGGAAACAAGTTGAAAGCCTTGAAAGTCAATGTAGATGAAACCATGATGGTGCACTTCACCATTAACTCTCTACCTAGCATTGATAGACAATTGAAAACTACTTATATTGCTCAGAAGGAGATACGGTCAGTTGCTAATTTGATAGGTATATGTGTGCAGGAAGAACAAAGTATTAGAAAGGACAAAGGCAAAGAACAAGTGTATTTGGTGCAGGATGCTAAATTCAAACCAAAGGAATGGACCGAAAACAAGAATGCAGATAAGCAGCAAAGGAAAGATGAGACTGCAAAGGGCATGGGTCCAGTAGGTTTGAAGTGTTTCTTGTGCAAGAAATTTGGACACTTGAAGAGAGACTGCAAAAGATACAAACATTGGTTGGACAAGCAAAAGGGAAAAGGTAAGCATGAAAACGTCTCTGTGATTTATGAATCTAATAGAATTGAATTCATGGTGGTTAGACAGTGGTGCAACAATTCATGTGACTAACTTTTTGCAGGGATTCAAAACAAAGAGGGTGCCAAACAAGGATGACTTGAAGGTGTTCGTGGGAAATGGAGAGAGAGTTAGCGTAGATTTTGTTGGTTTAGCTAGTCTTGAGTTGGAGTCAGGATTTATTTTGGAATTTGTTGATGTCGTTTATGTTCCTTCTATGACAAGAAACCTGTTATCAGTTAGCAAGCTTGTAAAATCAAACTTACAGTTTGAGTTTGATGAGTCTAGTTTCTCCATTTTCAGAAATAAAAGTTTTATTGGTAATGAATTGTTGATTGATGGAATGTTTCGTTTGAAGTGCAAATTGCCAAATCAAACTACAGAGATGATAACTGTGATAAGCTCAAAACAGTCTTGTAATACAGAATCATTCACATTGTGGCATAAGAGACTTGGACATGTCTCGAAAGAAAGAATGAATCTCTTAAGCATAGAATCAATTCTTCCACCACTTAACCACCATGAAAAGGATAAAACATGTATTGAATGTGCAAAAGGAAAATTGACAAATCTCATAAAGAAAGGAGCAATAAGGAGTGAGAAACTGCTTGAAATAATACACATAGATATTTGTGGTCCTTTTCCAGTCGACACACATGATGGTTTTAGGTATTTTATTACCTTTACTGATGATTTTTCAAGATATGGATATGCGTATCTGATAATAGAAAAATCCAAGGCACTGGAAATGTTTAAAATCTACAAAGCAGAAGTGGAAAACCAGCTGTATTCCAAGATAAAGGTTGTAAGATCAGATAGGGGAAGAGAGTTCTATGGCAAGTTCACTGAAAAAGGAAGAAATCCAGGACCTTTTGCAAACTTTCTGTAGCAAGAGGGCATCATTGCACAATATACAAATCCCGGAACACCACAACATAATGGTGTTTCAGAAACAAGAAATAGAACCTTAATAGAGATGGTGAGGAGCATGATGTGCTGTGCAAAGCTTCCTACTTTCCTATGGGGAGAAGCCTTAAAAAGTGCAAACTACCTTGTCAATAAAGTACCTACCAAAACTACAAACAAGATACCCTACGAAATCTGGTGCAAAAGAAAGCCTAGTTTAGCTCATCTAAAGACCTGGGGATGCAAGGCAGAGGCAAAATTGTATAATCCAATGCAAAAGAAGCTTGATTCCAAAACTGTGAGCTGTTTCTTCATAGGATATCCAGATATGACAAAAGGTTACAGGTTTTATTGTCCTAAACATGACACAAGATTTGTGGAAACACAAAGTGCAATCTTCATTGAGGAAGAAGATGGAGGATCAGACGATGCAGATTTTGATTTTGATGAAGTCTTGGAAGATAAGGAAACTCCAGATGAAAACCAAATGAGAGATGTAACTGTTTTAGCTTTTGATGAATTGGAAGAAAACCAAGCCTCTCTAATGCATGAAGAAAGAAATAATGAAGAAGGTCAAGTGACAGAAAACCAACAAATTGCAGTAGAAGAAATGCAGACAGATCAACCAGTACAAGTTCCAAACTCACAACTCAGGAGATCACAAAGGCCTAAGAGGCCGGCCTTGTCAAATGACTATTTTGTTTACCTACAAAAATCTAATCATGACATCAACACTGAAGAATATCCTGCAACTTTCAAGCAGGCCATGGAAAGTAGCAAATGCACACAGTGGTCTATAGCCATGGAATCTGAGCTAGAATCAATGAGCAAAAATGGGGTATGGAGACTAGTTGGTTTACCACCAGGATGTAAACCTATAGGAAGCAAGTGGATTTACAAAACCAAAAGAAATGCACAAGGACAAATAGACAGGTACAAAGTCAGACTAGTGGCAAAAGGTTACACACAAAAAGAATGAGTTGATTACAGTGAAATCTTCTCTCCAGTGTCAACTAAAGATTCATTTAGGGTTATCATGGCTTCGGTTGCTCATTTCGATCTGCATCTTTATCAAATGAATGTTAAGACATCTTTCCTAAATGGAGATCTGCTTGAAGAAATATATATGAAACAGCTAGATGGTTTTGCCTTAAGGGGAAGAGAATTTAGTGAGTAGGTTGCAGAAATTGATATATGGTCTAAAACAGGCATCAAGACAATGGTATCTCAAGTTTGATGAAGTTGTTAAGTCCCAAGACTTCATTGATAATCCATTGGATGAATGTATCTATATGAAATTCAATGGAAGGAATTTCATTTTCATGCTGCTATATGTGGATGACATTCTTTTAGCCAGTAGCAATTTGTCTATGCTGCATGACACTAAAAGAATGCTATCAAATCATTTCGATATAAGTGATCTGGGGGAGGCAAACTACGTTTTGGGAATTGAGATAAGCAGGGACAGAGAAAGAAAGATGATTGGTTTATGCCAGAAGGCATATATTGAGAAAGTGCTTAAGAGGTTCAATATGGGCAACTGCACAGGATGTGATGTTCCCTTCTCGAAAGGTGACAAATTGAGCAGTGAACAATCCCCTAAAACTGAGCAAGAGAGACTAGAGATGAAGGACAAGCCTTATGCATCATTAGTAGGAAGCTTGATGTATGCACAAGTCTGCACTAGACCAGACTTGGCATTCTGCATAAGTGTTCTTAGCATATTTCAATCTAACCCAGGCCAAGCACATTGGATTGCAGGCAAGAAGGTACTTACAGAGAACTAAATAGTACAAATTGGTCTATATAAAGGTTGAAAGTTTGCAGCTGGAAGGATATGCAAATGCAGACTTTGCAGGATGTCAGGACACTAAGAAATGCACATCAGGAGTTGTTTTTCTATTTGCAGGAGCTGCAGTGGCATGGAAAAGCATGAAACAGCAATATGTGTCAACCTCCACCATGCAAGCAGAATTCTTGGCAGTTTATGAAGCCACTTCAATGGCAATGTGGCTTAAGAATTTCATGTCCATGCTGAGAGTTGTGGATTCAATACAGAGGCCGATTCAGTTATGGAATGACAATACTGCAACAGTGTATTTTGCACAAGGAAATAAGAGATCATGTGGAATGAGGCATTTGCATTTAAAGTTCTTATTTGCGAAGGAAAAGATTCGAGATGGAGAGACTGCTCTAAGTCACATTGGCACAAATTTTATGATTGCAGACCCCTTGAATCAAGGGTTGCCTAATCATATTTTTCACAGACATGTGGCAAGCATGGGATTGCAGTTCTGTTTTTATACCTAAAGTCAGTGGGAGTCAGTGGGAGCTAGAGTTTTACCGTTATGTTTTGTTGTGATTTTGTTAACTAGTTTTATCTAGGCAAGTTTTGTTTTGCAGACTTAATTAAATTGCTTTTATATAATGTTCTACATTTATTGTTTCTGGATGACAAATAGAATGAAGGCCAAATTGTAATCATGCTAGCATACTGATTGCAGTTTGAATCTATGAATGAGTCATTAACGTTTGTTTAAAAGGAGACCTTGGTAGTCTTGAAGGGTGAGCAAAGAACTGTTTCGTTTTGTCAGACTTACAGTAAAACCAAACAGGTTCTCGTTTTTCAATCTAGTTGGAAGCCTTATGTGTTTTACAGATTCATATATGTGGTTATAAAAGTCTTGGATATTATATATCCAGTGTACTTCGATAGTCCCTTATGAATTCTCAAAATGACAGTGGCTTGATAAAAGGAACAAGAGAGTTTTGAGTTCCACATGGCCATTAAGTGATGAACAATAAGTCTAAATTGATTATTTGATCAAGTGGGAGAATGTAAGAAGGTTTATTGCCTTAAACCTACTGAAGTGATCTTCGAATCAATAAAGGATTGCAAAGACTTATTGTTTATCAAGGATTCAAAACCTATCTCGATTAGGCAGCCTGTAAACAGTGTTTAAGATGGTTAATAAAAGGCTTAAGGGTTCCTAGTTCTACAAGGATTGGAACAGATTAATACTATCACATGAAGGATATCTCTAAGTGTTTCTTGATGGGCAAGACACTTAGAGAGATGCATATAAATAGAAGGCTCCCTCCTAGATCCGATACAACTAAGCTAATCAGAAATTCACCCATTAGAGTTATAGCTATAAGGATCGGTTTTCTAAGGAAAAGAATCTTCTATACCTTTGCGCAATTCAATCTGCTTCAGCACCATGTCAGACTCAGGTTAGTGTTCAACATGTTATAGCTTTCAAGATTAACATGATCAACTCGTGATATTGGTAGCATGTGATATGTTATATTTTAATAGAAACAACCTTGTTGTAATATGTAATTACCAATACATAAGCATATTCGGTAAAACCATGAACCTTCCAAACCAATAATGCTCATAAAAAAAACCATTGACTTGTTTATATCCAAAACCAATAATGCTCATAACAATGTCCAACTCTATCAAGTTCATGATGCCTACAATTAAGTTCTACCAACTCTATCAAGTTCTTTTAACTAATTGAAATCGACAAGGAAAAATAAATAACATTATATTATAGATCAACGTAGAGTGCTGTCTGGTTGCATTTTGTTCTTCTCTTCATTTCACTTTCAGTTTGCGACCTTAGCTAAGAGGCCAAAACTCTCTCTCTCTCTCTCTCTCTCTCTCTCTCTCTCTCTCTCTCTCTCTCTCTCAGAGTTTGCAACCTTGCAACGTTATTTATATATACTTTGTAAGGCCTCTAGTTAGCTAAAAGAAATATGGGTATTTTCTATATCATCTTCACCTTCATATTGTTCTTTCTCTTCCTAACCTTGTCCCTATTCATACTTAGAATCTTCACAGGCAAGTCCATCAGAAACCCGAACTACCCACCTGTAAAAGGCACTGTCTTCCACCAGCTCTTATACTTCGACAGACTCTATGACTACCAAACTGAAGTTGCCAAAGAACACTCAACTTACAGGCTTTTGGCCCCGGAACACAGTGCAGTATACACAACTGACACGCGAAACATTGAGCATGTTCTGAAGACCAACTTTGGCAGCTATTCGAAAGGGAAGTATAACCAAGCTATTCTGTCTGATATTTTTGGCCAAGGGATATTTGTTGTTGATGGAGAAAAGTGGAAGCAGCAGAGGAAGCTCGCGAGCTTTGAGTTCTCGACGAGAGTTCTTAGAGATGTTAGCTGCTCTGTGTTTAGAAGAAATGCTGCCAAACTGGTTAAAGTTATTTTTGAGATTTCGGTTGCCAGGGGGGTTTTTGATATGCAAGTCAGTAATCTGAAGTCGCCAACATATCTTTTCTTGTTTGTAACTTGTCTTCTGGTCTTGTTTAAATTACATAGTGGTTATTTAATAATAGCATAACTAAATTTAACATTTGTCTTCTGGTCTTGTTTAAATCACATACTGTCCCCTTGATCAAGTTGGTTTGATAAACATTAATCAATTTAGAGGGCTGACCTAAGATCAACTTTAATTTTGGCTGGTTTTTGGTACAAAAGAGTACAGAGAAGAAATCATGATCTGTGAAATTAGGGGATGTATCATGCCATAAAAGTACTCAGCTTGTAAACTCCAAAAGTTTAGGATTTTCTGTCTATTTTGTAAGTAACTTGGAAAATAGAAGATGAATCTGATTTCGTAACAGCTGATGTAATGATATAAGTTGTTATTTACTTTTTCTTGTTTATGATTCTTCTTGTAGGATTTGCTCATGAGATGTACCTTGGACTCCATATTCAAAGTTGGGTTTGGAATAGACCTGAATTGCTTGGAGGGGTCAAGCAAAGAAGGGACTGCATTTATGAAGGCCTTTGATGAATCAACTGTTCTAACCAATTTCCGTTATGTTGATCCATTCTGGAAACTGAAAAGAATTCTCAACCTTGGTTCCGAGGCCTCCCTTAAAAAGTATGTCGAAGTCATTGATGATTTTGTGCACCAAGTTATCAGAAGCAAGAGGAAATTGCTAGAGCAGCAAAAGGATGTTGTAAGCGAATTTTACACCTGTATAGTGGCTTTGCATGTGGTTATATAATTTTTTTTCTTTTGATTCTGCATTGAAGCTTCCATTTTATAGCATCAGTTTTATTAATGAAACTTTGAATTTTATGTTATGTTTCAAAGAATGACAAGGAAGACATACTATCAAGGTTTCTATTGGAGAGCAAGAAGGATCCAGAGGAAATTAATGACAAATATCTAAGGGACATCATTCTGAATTTTATGATTGCTGGCAAAGACACCAGTGCAAATACACTCTCATGGTTCTTTTACCTGCTCAGCAAGAACCCTCTAATACAGGAAAAAGTTGTACAAGAAGTGAGGGATGTTGTTGGTAATCAGGCCGGCGAAGCAAAAATCAATGAATTTGTGGAGAACATTACTGATGCAACTCTTGAACAAATGCATTATCTTCACGCGGCACTGACAGAGACGTTGAGGCTATACCCTGCAGTTCCCATTGTATGTATATACTCCAATAACCCTGTATTAATTTTCTTTATGGATAGTTTTTGAATGAGATATTGTAATTTGTTATAGTTGATTGTGAGAACCTAAACAGGACAGTGCCAAAGCCTTGATAAAATATGTGCTAAATATATCAAAACCAACGCCACAAGAGAAATATTCCTTGAAAGTACCCCATTGTGTTGGCTATTATTAAACCATAGATGTTTAAGTCTAATTATTCTTCAGTTTCCATTAGGGAAATGAGTTTAATATCTATGGTTCTGTACATTAAGGTGAAATTTTCATATACTAAAGTTAAGGCCAAATGCGTAAGCACTGAAAATATTGACTTCTTTGTGTGTTTGGCTTTCCCCTCAGGATGGGAGATTTGCAGAGGTAGATGACATTCTTCCTGATGGCTTTAGAGTGAGAAAAGGAGATGGAGTAAACTACATGGCCTATGCCATGGGCAGAATGCCTTATATTTGGGGAAAAGATGCTGACGATTTCCGGCCTGAAAGATGGCTCAAAAATGGAATTTTCCAGCCTGAATCACCCTTCAAATTTGTCGCATTTCATGTATGTAACTTATTTTCTTTTTCTTTGGCACATAGCTTAATCATCCTAATGTTCACTAATAGTTGTTTCATTGAATTGGTGCTACTTGCAGGCAGGTCCTCGGATCTGTCTAGGGAAGGACTTTGCTTACCGGCAGATGAAGATAGTAGCAATGGCTCTTCTTTGCTTCTTCCGCTTCAAATTGGCTGATGAAACAAAAGCTGTAACATATAGGACCAAGTTCACCCGTCACATAGATGGCAGCCTCCCTATGCTTGCAATTCCAAGGGCAACCTGATAAAATTTCCTACATCTGAAGAAAATCAATGTTCAAGGTTATCAAATTATGATATTGTTATGATATTTGCAGGTTTTTACTCTGTATTCTGTTTGTAATTTGTAGATAATGGAAGCAACCTTGTAAATATATGTAAATTAGCAAATATGTAAAACCATGACATTCATGACCCCAAGAAACTCTCTGCAATCTTGGTAGAGAAGTTGTGTCTGCGTGAATTAGCTAAAGTTGATATGGAAGAATTTGTCATTGTTTTCAGTTACCGTTTCTGTGGTCATTGCCGTTGTCGTGGCCATTGCTGCCGCCATTGATGTTTCCTTTGTTTGCTTCACTGAATGTTGCTATGGTCATTGCCGATGATGTTGTTGTGTTTTGATCCGTCTCTACAACATTAAAAAAAAACCCTAACCCTAAACACCACCTATTTCCGTTGCACTATACATCTAGCCTATAATCCTAGTCTGCTGCAGCCATCTACCGTGCTCCCTACTGTCGTGCTCACAGGGTTTCTGTGTTTTGCCATATCTATTGTCGTGCTCACAAGGTTTCTGTATTCTGCCTTATCTGCTGTCATGCTCACAGGGTTTATGTGTTCTACCTTACCTATTGCCGTGCTCACAGGATTTCTATGTTCTGCCTTATCTACTGTCGTGCTCACATGGTTTCTGTGTTCTGCCTTACCTATTGCCGTGCTCACATAGTTTCTGTATTTTGCCTTATCTGGCTTGTCACTTGTTTCACTCGTGGTTGACGAAAAGACCATCTCTACAATCGGTGCTTCTCAAGTATGGTGTTCTGCGACTCGCTTGTCAAGTTGGGCGTGCGAAATATCTTTGGCCCAACTTGAGGGAGAGTGTTGGCGAGTCCTTACTTAGTTAGGATTTTGGTTTCTTATTTAGTTAGAATTTTGGTTACTTACCAATTATTATTTAGTCCTATTGTAATAGAGGTTTATTTCCTATTGTAATTTAGATATATTTCCTATTTTATTTAGGGGTTAACATCTTGTACTTAAATAAATACCTTCATGTTGGAGAAGAATAAAATATGAGCGTATATGAGCATAATTACATATTTGCCTTACTTTGTTTGACTCACTCACTATCAATGATGTAGATTACCCAACATCCCACAACAACTCATCCAATGATCCATATAATTGGCGCATCCATGCACCTGGCGCATGGTAGAAATTTTAGATGGTCCTGATCAGCAACTAGGACACAGACAATCATAGAAATTTATATCCATGTCCCACATGAGCATGAGAGGGACATGGATATAAATTTCTACCCGTAAAGTTATTTTGACTAATTCAAATCGACAAAACATGGAAAAATGTATAAAATTATTTATATTAAACAGCAACATAGAGTGCAGTCTAGTTGCATTTTTTCTCTTATCTTCATTTTACTTTCAGTTTGCAACCTTAGCTAAGAGGCCAAAACTCTCTCTCTCTCTCTCTCTCTCTCTCTCTCTCTCTCTCAGTTTACAAATGGCAGTCACAGGCTAAAAGATAGATGGGTATTTTCTATGCCATCTTCACCTTCATATTATTTTTCCCCTTCCTAACCTTATCTTTCTGTTATGTTTCCTATTTAGATATCGGTGTACTAGATACTAAGTTATATTAGGTTTTGATAAGAGTTTAAATTAGGTTATACATTGAGGCTTAAAACCTTGTGGAATAAGGAAAGATTTTGGTGGGTGTGAGCACAGATCTAGAGGTGAGATATCACTCATGATCATATCGGGTGATGATAAGAAGAAAAACAGAAAATTTTAAAATAAAAATCCTGAGATGGGTTACACCATAAATTTTCCATATGGACCCCATGAGGATTAATGACATGATATGGGCCCATTTTTGTCACAAGATTGGCCCAACTGACCAAATTACAAACCCATCTCAGCTCAGGCTGGAACCACAAGCCCATTCCCAGATCTTTAATATTGACTGATGTGAAATCCACAGTAACTGAGTGAAAATGGTACTCCTTAAAGATATGTCATTTAGGCGAATGTCAGTCAACTTTATGTCGTTTTCACGTTATATGACCCTTATTTCCTCATGAATTTAATTGTGGGGTCCTCCTCCCTTCTTTTACGCGATCTAAAAGATAAATAATTTCGGTTAAATTATGACCATAGAACATAATCTATTCATAAAGGCAATATGACAAAGCTCCGCATGCAGTGTTACAACAAATACCTTTTCTTATAGACAAAGGCTTCTTGCAAAGTTTTGTGGGTTCCAAAATCATTACCATCCTTATAGTGGGTTATTGAAACGTTTAGACAAGTTTTGACCCACATAATCGCTTATTTCACAATTTCATTGGCATTGCATGTCCTGAAATTAAAGATAATTAATATTGTACATAGAACGTTTCTTTCGTGAGAACATGCTTGAATTCATAATTTCTTTTGACTGTAGAATGAAACTTGGAAGTGGGGGGAGTGGTTTGTGGAAATAAAGGAAGAGCGGTGTGTCCATATAGCTTTTGGAGTTTGTCCAATTTCAATAAGTTATATGGTGGAATGAATTCCCTGAAAAATGTGTGAATTTTGTGACTTGTAGATGATGGATGACTTTTGTGGGATTTTAATTATCAAGAGAGAAGTGCTCATAGGATGTGCTCAGCAAGTGCGGGGTTGTCTAGCAAAGGTACGTTGTTTGATATTGTTTTTCTTTCCTTTTAATTTTAAAATTTTAATTATTTTTTATCAATCACTCAACGTTTGGTTTTCACGTAGTCCAATATAATAAGAAGGTGGTTGCTTTTATTTATTTTTTATTAATATATTGGTGTGAACCAAAATCACTTGTACTCATGAAGAAAAACTTGTCTTTGTTGTGGGGGGCCACAATCAATAAAGCTGTTTCAAGTCCTATATTTTAAGATGTTTCAATAATTGATGAAACATATCATTACTATAAAGGGTTTTCAGAATGTAACTTTATTTGGACTCCAGTACTATAAAGAGTTTGATTCCTTGATTGATCCATCATACACACCGCTGCTGCAAGCAGTAGTTCCTCTTCTTCATCAGCTTCCCGATCTTCTTCAGCACGTCTACGCCTTGTTTCTTCCCTTTCTTTCCGTTGCCTCTCCAACACCCTCAACAAGTTTGACATTGAGAGTAGAATGTGTTTTCTACAATCTGAGAAATGAAGGAATAGATAAGAGATGGTGTGAGAGGTTTGAAAATCAGGTCTAGTTTATAGACGGATTTAGAAGATAGAGATGACACGTGGCACAATTTGAGAGGATGAAAATCTTATCAAAAATCTGAGATGATATTTTTTTTAAAATATCTGAAAATGTTATCTGACATTTGACACGTGGCACAATTGTAGAGGGTGAAAATCTAATCTGAAATCTGAGATTAAAATTTTTTTAAAATATCTGAAAATGTTATCTGACATTTGACACGTGGCACAATTCTAGAGAGTGAAAATCTTATCTGAAATCTGAGATTAAAATTTTTTTAAAATATCTGAAAATGTTATCTAACATTTGACACGTGGCACAATTTTAAAAGGAATTTTCTTTGAATAATTTTTATTAAAATCTAAAATACTAAAAATTAACTACGAAACTTTAAATGCCGTTTTGGAAGGCCAAACGACCTCAAAATGCCAAAATCCATCATACATCACAGCAAAGCTGTGAGTTTGACTCGTGGTATCGTTCCCTTTCCGAAATGGTATTTTGCGTCCTAATCGGAGCTCGGACGACAAATCTGCAAATTCCCACTACGTCCTTTTTCTAGCTCAAGCGATAAAATCTGACATTTATTCTACATCAGACGTGGCACAATTTTAGAGGGTGAAAATCTTATCCGAAAATTTAATTACAAAAGATTATCAAAATTAATGGTTTAAACTATAAAAAAATAGAAAATAAAGTACAATGAATAGTAATTGCCTTAGACTTGCCCTAGACTTTGCCCTTGTGGGTGGAACCACAAATGCAAAGGCTGACACTATTCACGTGAATAGTGACAGCCCTTGCTTGCCCTTGCCTTAGACTTAGCCCTTGTGGGTGGAGATGCTCTTAAGAGGGCTCAAACAATTATACTATAATAAGCTCACATCAATAGAATATTATTTAATTCTTTCTGGATTAGGTCTAATTCTGTACGGAGCGAGAATAGTCCACTACCTTACTTTATTATTATTTTTTTCTAAACGAAAAAGGAAACTTCCCAATAAAAATAAGTAAATATAAATAAAAGAAACTCTAGAATATGCATGTGCTCATACGTGTAAAAAATTCAATAAAAAACATTCATGCTAAACCAAACAAACTTGAAATTGCATGTTCCAAATCGATACACAGCATTCTAGGAACACATACAAGAAAATTAAACATGAGCATACACGTAGGTCTGCATAACATTAACATCAAGCCATAAGTCTTTCAAAGAAACTAAGATTTGATTGCCGTTATTAGAATTTATGGAGAAACTCCCAAATCCTTCTTAACGGGTACTGCAAGCTCCAACCCTACAATTAGAAAATTAAACAAGTAGTTAGCCCCTATAAGTAAATTTAGGTTTTAGCTATAACAGTGAGTGAGCTATAAAAAAAAACCAATAAAAAGAAATCATTTTATTCATAAGTCATCTCATTGACGAGGTGGGGTTAAAGGTCCAAATCAAAAAAGAAAAAAAAAGAAATCTATTTTATTCAAAAGTCATCTCAACACGTACTCATTGACGAGATGGGGTTAAAAGTCATCTCAACACAAACAAACTTAATTATTAGTGATGTTATGGTGAACCCACCATGTCCATCTCAACACAAACTTGAAATTACAACTTGAAACACATGCTTATAAAATTGCACATAGATACATGCAAGGAAGCTAAACACGAGCTTATGCATATATACATACACTTCTCAAATATCAGCTGAACCCAAAAAAGCGCATAGATAAATTATAGACTACTTCTACTAAAGAAAGAATAGCAAAACATGACGGGAAAACAACAAAACAACAAAACTACAATCAAATTCAAATGTAATTTACCTAAGCCTTGAGATTTTTGCCACATCTAGGCTTGTGGTCCTCAAATTCAGATGTGTTACTGAACTTCCTTCGACATTTTGGTTTGTAGCACATAATGAACTTCGACTTCGATCCTCTGTGGACCATTTTCTGATGATATATCAATCCATTGTTATTCTCAAATTGTTTTGCATTCATGTTACCATCAGAACAGAGGTTGCATGCGATAATCCCTTCTCTTCCCACATATTCAGCTTTGGCCTCAGGAGCCCAGGGATGGTTGTCCTTGATATGCTCTACCACCTGAGCATGATTGTTGAATGGAATGTCACAGTAGTTGCAGAATACAGAGTCCTCGTCAAACTGATAAATCATTTCTGAATTGAATTTATAAAATAAATAAAAAACAACAAATTACATCAGATAAATCTTCAATAAAGAAACTATAAATTAATCATAACCACTACAAAATTTAATTATATAGAGAATGACTGACGGCAACTCCATTTCACCATTTTCTTTAACATCTCATAAAATCAATAGACTAATAGATATGAGAGGGGATATAGGCTAGCCTAACAAGAATCACCCAAGAAAATAAGCATTCATCACAGAGGTGGACCCAAAATGAAACACAATTTAATTATAAAATTTTGGCCAATTTGATGAGGAATAAAGTTTTGGTAAAAAGTGGTGGAGGGGTCATAAGCTGAAATCATATCAACTCTTCCACACCCTATGAATATATCAAAAGAGATGAATACATGAGAACCACAGCCTCTTCTGCCTTAGGCGGGATCTGAACCACCGTCAACTACAGGTTCAAAACCCATAGGGAAAAGCTTGGGTACCGACTCAATTGTCATAAACCAAACACCAAGTCCCATGAGATCATAAATCAAAAGAAAAGAAAACTAGTACTGAGGGAGAGCCAAGCAATCTTGTTCAAAGAGCCATATGAGATGATGCTCAGAAAGAGCCATTTGAGATCATGGTTAGAAAGAGGTGGAGATGAAGGTGGTGGTGGTGATGGATTGGGGGTAAAAGTATGGGAACCTAGCTGAGAAAGAGTCACATGAGAGATCATGGTCAGAAAGAGCTATGAGATCATAAATCAAAAGAAAAGAAAACTAGTACTGAGGGAGAGCCAAGCAATCTTGTTCAAAGAGCCATATGAGATGATGCTCAGAAAGAGCCATTTGAGATCATGGTTAGAAAGAGGTGGAGATGAAGGTGGTGGTGGTGATGGATTGGTGGTAAAAGTATGGGAACCTAGCTGAGAAAGAGTCACATGAGAGATCATGGTCAGAAAGAGCTATGAGATCATAAATCAAAAGAAAAGAAAACTAGTACTGAGGGAGAGCCAAGCAATCTTGTTCAAAGAGCCATATGAGATGATGCTCAGAAAGAGCCATTTGAGATCATGGTTAGAAAGAGGTGGAGATGAAGGTGGTGGTGGTGATGGATTGGTGGTAAAAGTATGGGAACCTAGCTGAGAAAGAGTCACATGAGAGATCATGGTCAGAAAGAGCTATGAGATCATAAATCAAAAGAAAAGAAAACTAGTACTGAGGGAGAGCCAAGCAATCTTGTTCAAAGAGCCATATGAGATGATGCTCAGAAAGAGCCATTTGAGATCATGGTTAGAAAGAGGTGGAGATGAAGGTGGTGGTGGTGATGGATTGGTGGTAAAAGTATGGGAACCTAGCTGAGAAAGAGTCACATGAGAGATCATGGTCAGAAAGAGCTATGAGATCATAAATCAAAAGAAAAGAAAACTAGTACTGAGGGAGAGCCAAGCAATCATGTTCAAAGAGCCATATGAGATTATGCTCAGAAAGAGCCATTTGAGATCATGGTTAGAAAGAGGTGGAGGTGAAGGTGGTGGTGGTGATGGATTGGTGGTAAAAGTATGGGAACCTAGCTGAGAAAGAGTCACATGAGATCATGGTTAGAAAGAGCCATGAAAGAGCCATGAGATCATAAATCAAAAGAAAAGAAAAGTAGTACTGAGGGAGAGCCAAGCAATCATGTTCAAAGAGCCGTATGAGATGATGCTCAGAAAGAGCCATTTGGGATCATGGTTAGAAAGAGGTGGAGGTGAAGGTGGTGGTGGTGATGGATTGGTGATAAAAGTATGGGAACCTAGCTGAGAAAGAGTCACATGAGATCATGATCAGAAAGAGCCATGAAAGAGCCATGAGATCATAAATCAAAAGAAAAGAAAACTAGTACTGAGGGAGAGCCAAGCAATCATGTTCAAAGAGCCATATGAGATGATGCTCAGAAAGAGCCATTTGATATCATGGTCAGAAAGAGGTGGAGGTGAAGGTGGTGGTGGTGATGGATTGGTGGTAAAAGTATGGGAACCTAGCTGAGAAAGAGTCCCATGAGATCATGGTCAAAAAGAGCCATGAAAGAGCCATGAGATCATAAATCAAAAGAAAAGAAAACTAGTACTGAGGGAGAGCCAAGCAATCATGTTCAAAGAGCCATATGAGATGATGCTCAAAAAGAGCCATTTGAGATCATGGTCAGAAAGAGGTAGAGGTGACAGTGGTGGTAGGTGTGGCGGCGGCGGCAGCAGTGGTGATAGATTGGTGGTAAAAGTATGGGAACCTAGCTGAGAAAGAGCCATATGAGATCATGGTCAGAAAGAGCCATGAAATCATAAATCAAAAGAAAAGAAGAGAAGCTGTAACTCTGTGAGAACCAAAAACCCAGTTCCAGAAACCAAAATAAAAAAATCATGAAAGCTCAAAGAAAATCTTTTTACAAAACGTAAAGGGAAGGAAACGAAAACCCTGGAAAAACCAACAAGAAGAAGTTCAGACATATAATCAAATATTACTGACCCATTTGTGTCATTTGGGAGAGAAAGAGAGAGAGAGAGAGAGAGAAGCGTCGCACAAACAACGAATTTCAAGAGAAATGAAGTGACTGCTAGTCGTAGAGAAGTAAGAGGGAAGGGCTGGGGACTTTTATGAGCAGAGGTCCAAAGCCGACTCTTACGATAGATATCTCTATTTTCATTTTCTTTTAAAGCATCTTATTTTTGGATTGATCTTTGAAGAATGTGTTATGCGTTTCTTCAGCAACTAAAAGAATTTCTATTTATTTTGGAAATTAGTTTAGGGATTGAGAGTGAGGGAGAAAGTTGTTTTGTTTGTATTTGTGTGTTTGTTTGACTTCAAGCCAAAACCAGAGAGATCAAAAGGTTTAAGTGCTAGATTAACCCTTGAACCAGATGCGTTGGCTACAACCTGAAGGTTGGGGGCGACGACGGTGGAAGACAGCCAATTTGGGCTTTATTATTGTTTCAACTTCTGAAAGGATTGGGAGGGGTTTGAACTTTGATCGATGGGTTTTTCTCATTGGATGGTTAGAAAGCCAGAGGAAGAAGATGAAAACACTACCCAAAAAACATTAGCAACAGTTACTATTTTGTCACTAATTTTGGTTACTGTTGTAGAGGTTACTAAAGGCTTTAGTCACATTTTTTGACTTTTTTAATGACTAAAAAGACTTTCAGTCTTTTTTTTTGCTAACAATCACCAAATTTGGTGACAAAATAGTAATTGTTGTCACTTTTTTTTTAATAGTAAAAGTACATTAAATATTTGGATTTTGAGTGGAACCACCACGTTCTATTCTTTTTTTTTTGGGGGGGGGGGCTGGCTTTTTGTCTTTTTCTGGTGGTTTTTTTTTTTTTTTTTTTTTTTTTTTTTTTTTTTTTTTTTTTTTTTCAACATTTTTTTTTTTTTCTCTGTTTGGTTTTGATCATCCAATCAATCATACTATGTGTATGATTTTTGAAGTGATGATTGTTAATGATAGAATTAACTTGTAAATTTTAAATTGTAAAAAAAATATATGATAATAAGCCTAAATAGAAATATTATATAATTTCGTCGGGTCTACATGGCTCTTAAAAAAACATAAATAAATTCTAAATTATAAGTACCGGGGATTGGATTTTACAACCCAAATTTTTTACAAAATTTTATTTTAATTGAGAGAAGAAAAATGAAACTTGGCGACGAGTGAAAAATGTTTGGTCGAGGACGTTTTGATCAACAACTAGGAAAAAGAAAAAAGAAAAATAAAGGTGCAACTAATCTCTCTGACCATTTTAAAGTTAATTAGTTAAATGCATAGATGCCAAATTGTAGAAAGCTGGCTGCCATGAGTCGACTCCATTTAGAAAGGACGTTTTTGCCGCTTAAGTTGGCTAGGTTTTATGACTTTTGCCTCTTACTTTTGAAGCTAATAAAAACAGATAATTAGTATTTTACAAATACTAATCCCTTGACACATGCATACAATTATACTTTTTGTTAAATGGAGTCTATTATCAGTCCCAAATTGGAGAAAGCTGGCTGCCATGAGTCGACTCCATCTAGAAAGCTCGTTTTTGCCGCTCAAGTTGGCTAGGTTTTATGACTTTTACCTCTTACTTTTCAAGCTGATAAAAACAGATAATTAGTATTTTAGCCCGTTGGTACATGCGTTGGTTTTATTTTTATTTTTATTTTATTTTTAGAATTAAGAAAAGATAACATGGGTAGTTATGTTCCATAAAAGTAAGACCTATTATCTGATTTTGTTTTTAATTTTAATTTTTTTAATATGAAAAAATGTGAATTTACCATATTATCCTCATTTAACTAATAATTTCAATTCTTAATATTTGAATTAACAAATGCCATTTTCTGGTATTTTAAATGTTTCACCATTCTCTCTCTCTTATTCTTTCTTTTATTCTCTGCAACTAAAAATTATTGAGATAGTGTGAGACAGATAATGGTGGGCGCCAGGGACGGACCCAGGAATCGTATCTCGTAGAGTCATAGTGTAAAAGTTTAATTTTTTTTTTAAAAGGCTTGGTAGGGGAGAGGGTTAAAGGTTTGTGGGAGGTGGAGATTTGGGAGTCAAGTTTGAGGTTTAGGAAATGGGGGGTTTGGAGTTCTGAGGGTTTGTTACAATATGTTTTGTTTTGTTTTTTTTTCAAAGACCTAGACCAAAACGACGTTGTTTTGGCAAGGTCTTTTTAAAAAAAAATTTGCAGCTGGTCCAAAACAACGGCGTTTTGGCCCCAACACGTTTTTTTTAAAAAATTCGCTCGCTGGTCCAAAATGATGCCGTTTTGGCCAGCTTGTTTTAATAATAAATAAAAACATAACCTCTGTTCAGCTTCTTCTTCCTCATATCTGCAGCCTCCTCTTTCATCCATTCATGGGATCACACACCAATTCGAAGGGACCTTCTACCTTGCGTTCATGGAGTCCATAGGGTCGTTTGACTTCATTGACCTCACTGTGGGTCCGTCCCTGGTGGACGCGATCTGGTTCTCATCTCAAACTGGAACCAGAATGGGTATTATTTAATCTGTCCAGTTTGATTCGGTTTAGGCAAAAAAAATTTCAAAAATCGGCTGGTTTGGTTCTGACCGGTTCCGGTCCAATTCTGACCAGTTCCGGTCTGATTCTGACTGGTTCTGGTTTTGAACTGGATTATTAATTTAATTTTTTTTCAAAAAATTAAAATTAAAATTTTTTTTAAAAAAAAATTAATGGAGAGAAATTGCTAATCTTTGTGAAAGATCATATGAGGGTACAATGGAAGCTTTATACTTGAGCTCCAAAGAAAGAAAATGTTAAATTAGTTTTAATTGATGTTGTTATACACCTCATCTGCCACATGAGTTTGGTGTGATAATTAATCGTAGAAGACAGTAATGATAATCCATGCACACAATTACAAATTCTATAATAATAAAAAAAAAAAAAAAAAAAAAAAAAATAATAAAATTATCATCAAATTACTAAATCTATCAACCATTTTTTTATTTTTTATCATTTGGTGATGTGAATTCAAACGTGCACAGCAAAATGATTGGCCTTTCTCCATAACAGTGCAGAATCACTCATCATATGGATTTGAATTACACCTCCAACGTTTTGCTTAATTCGGTGTATATGTACCTTAAAACTTTTGATTAACACTGTTGGTTCTTTTGCTTAAAGTAAAGTATTAAGAGCTTTGAAGCTTCAAAAAGTCTACCACGTTTGTTCTCATTGAGACCACAAACCAATTAAGACAATGCATAAATCATAGCCTTGACCCCCAAGTTGGGTTTTTTCTTTTTCTCTTTCCCGTTTCTTTTTATTTTTATTTTTATTAAAGCGATGATTTTATGATTTTTCACGTGACCCTTCACATATGACCCTTCTTATTTGGAATGTCATGTGTTTATCTGTGAAATTTTTTCAATTAAAAGCATTTCATTAATAAAAGAAACCCAGGTCATGTATGGTTTAATTTGTGCTCATTATCGTAGTAGATTTTATAGTCAGAAGCTCATAGAAGAGAATCCATTAATGGGCTTTTTATTTTATTAATAGGCTTATTTTAGCATGAAATATTATACGATTATTCATATACAATCTATTTGGAGCGAAAAAAACCCAAAACTAGTCACTTGTCATTTTCTAATTGATTCTTAGTTTGTTACAAAAATTTGAAAACCAATTAACAAGTGACAAGTAGCTAGTTTTAGGTTTTTCCTTTCAAATAAGCTCTATATAGGTAATTGTATAATATATCATGTTAAAATGGGCTTTGCTAAAAACCTATTAATTAAAGTACAATTATGTAAGTTAAGTTAGCCATTGTACTATTATGGTTGCAAGTTTCAACCTAGCCATTGGCA